CATGGATAAATATGTTTACACTGTTAAATGCATTTCAGAAATTGTATAAATTTCATTTAAAAAATGTAAAATTTACATTTATACAGCCCAAAACTGATCACACCACAGTTAAAGCTACAGTACTGTGTAAAAGCCTCAAGCAGCCAAGAAAACTATTTAAAACGTTTTATCTTGGCAGTAAGTGTGTTTTGGCAGTTAAAAGATTTCATAACTTTAGAATAAATACAAATTAACACAAATTAGTTCAGTAAAATGTAACTAGGACATTTTTATGTTATTGATATCTTGGTTAGAAGAATACAGAAGAGCACAGTTTTAGTTCTTGACCCGTTGGTGCACTCCAGCCATAGTTAGGATTTGTTAAATTCTATTTAATGAAGGATTGATTAGATAAACTAAGTATTGGGTGGTAACTGTGGACTTCTCTGAGGAGAGGTTTGGAAATGGTTACCACAGTGACACACATTAAATCACAATGTACTGTTTTGTATTTATTCTAATGTTAGTTAGTTTGTTAATGGTAATGTTAGTTTTTCATGTTAATGTTAGTTTTCAATGTTAAAGTTAGTTTTTAACAAGTGCTTATTACTCAGATTAATGGCTTTACACTATGGTTGTTAAAACTATGGATTCTTTGGGGGCATAAGCAAGCCATTGGGCTATAACAGTAAAATTCTCACTGCCTTCTGCTACAGGGTTTCCCAGATTGCGACGTGCTGTCTGATAAAAACTTGAAGCATTTTTCATACTGCTTAAGTTTCCCGATGGTTTGGATGAGTTGAAAAACATAAAACTCATTATAACTCACTGAAATCTGCCCCTGGAGTAGTTGCAAAGCATGTCTATTCACTGTTAGCAAAAAAAATGCATCAGCATGTTTTCTATCACTATGTAAATGAAGCTCAAGGCTGCCTTTTTTGTTGGATGCACTGTGATCACTTCTCAGCAAGCACGAGAACACATTTGAAATGGAATTCAATTTGCTAAGGGCTTATTACTGAATTAATTCCTCATAGTAACGATACGACATAACTAAGGTATGAATCATATTCCTATTCATATGTTTGCCTGTTTAAAAATGGCTGCAAAATATACAAATTGTCGGCTTTGTTCAATTCAGTTCTTTATACATCAAAATAAATGCACCAGCAGCACTAGGAAACAGTGTTATTAGAGTACATTAAATGGCAAAATAGCCACTTTTTGCCTCAGTAATAAACAGTTAAACGATTAGAATTGTGTTTTTTTACATCTGATTCTATCTAGTTAGTTATAACGTGCTAGAGAAAAGTAGCTATACATAAACAATTGACTTCATAATGTAATCCTTAATACCTACCAAGTCTAAATGGATATCACCCTATGCAGTGGCTCTTATGACTGCACTTCAAATTTACTCATTTATTGCTTTACTAAAAGCTGCTTTGTCATCCTCCGCTTATCTGTGCTGCTTCAAACACACACAGCAAATAGCACATTCATCCCTCCACCTTCTCCAGGTTAAGCTTGTTTTCTCTTTATCAAAGCCAGAGGGGCAGAATAATAAAGGCTAAACTCTAATAAATTTCCTGGGTATGGCTCCCATGAGGTGACAGCTCTGCTTTGGCATGATGGCACTGACAATCAGAGTTCCAATCTGTCATACTGCACTGCACCTATTATAGGCAGCAGGACATTCTGTGTATGGCCAAGAGCTGATGTTCATATTACCAATGACAACGACAGTGAGATTTAATGTAAATAAATTGAAACTCCTGACAGCCAGCGCTATGTGCAGCAAATTTACATGCTAAATAAAGGAGAAACTTACCAAGAATACGATTCTGTGGAGAGCACATATTGGCTACCTAGAAAGCCCACTTATTGTTCTCAAAGAAAGAAAAGTGTCTCCACTATTCTTTCCTGCTATCCTTTCTCTTCCAATTTCACAGTTAAGTAGACTACATACCTACATCTAATTGACCTATTAATGCCCTGCCCACAAAACTGTTGCTAGGTAGGCCTAGCTTTTTCAGGCTGGACTTTAGATAACGTTGTTCACATATAACATTGAGCTTTCAGGTCCCAGTGAACACATAGTAAAATGTTAAAAATGTGTGTATGATACTAAAAATAAGTGTTATAATAAACATTCTGCAAAATTTAAATGAAAAAAACTGTCTGTGCCTGGTCCTAATATTCTAATGAGCATGCGTGATAGACATCCCTCCGTTCAACACTCCCAGCCTGCTTCACCCCTGAAGCGTAACTAAATACAACAGCGCAAAAGGAGAGAAAAGAGTGAAACAGGTCCTATATATGCAGGTCATGTTGTAGACTACGCTGCTGTGTCCATGACTGACTAAGAACATTATGCGGCTTTTATAAGGCCAGGCCTTAAAGAAGGTAAGGTTCTTATTCACTTTACTGCTGGAGGTGCATCCAGGGAATGCCAGCATGGCTGGATGAACAACTGGGTAGACGAATGGATAGATGGACAGATAGATGGATAGACAGATGGACAGACAAAAAACAGACATGATCTAGTTTATTAGCCCAGTTATGCTTGCTTAGTTAGCTTTTGACTGGTTGTTAGATTGTGCTCGGTAAGTTTCTCTGACTTGAACACAGAGAGACCGTAAGGAAGCACAGTGTTGTCAAAGCCACATCCGCCTTGTGATTAGTGAGGATACTGCTTACATACATGTGACTTTTAAGTTTAGGACTGCCCAGTTTACTCTCAAAGAGGAAAATGTGCCAAAATTCATGGTAAGTTATTCACAGGACATATTTTGTATGTGTGTATTGTGTGCCTATAAGAGCTAGATTAACCCACTTACACTATTAGAAATAAAAAGTACTGTGCAGGTACAGTTTTTGTTCATCAAGGTATAAACAATGTAAATGTTCCCTCAAAGGTACAACAGTGGTTTTAAGGTCAAACTGTGAACCTTAAATAAGTTTTTCCAGGTGAAAAGTATGTATTTGTATCTTTTCAGAACCTAATGTTTTAAAACAGAACAATAAAATAAAAAGCCTGTGGAGTCAATACAGCTTAAAAAGCATCATTTCAATGGATTATGGTAAAATTATGTTCCCTGATCAAAGCGACTGAGATGTACCCTTGAGGGTTCCACCACCGTGACAAGAGGGGTACTGTCCCAGTGACAGTTTTATGCCTTTATTCCTGAGAGTGTAGAAAGAAAACACAGATTTAGGTTCCCTGCTAAGCTAGCAGGCTGGACTATATGGTTGTCGCCTAACTAAATACAGCAGGACAATGAACTACAAAAAACTACAAGTGATTATAAATGTGTGTATTGTGACAAAATAAGAATGACTTGTGCACTACACTCTCATGAGGTTGAAGGGGATTTTGACCAACCTTGCACTAGTTTGAATGTTTGTAGAAAAAGCATGGTTAGGTCAATTACAAGTCACTTCGCAGGTTTTGCCAATCTTAACTTGCTTATTTCCAAAAGCAAATAAACTGTTGCACACTGATTGGATGCAGCAACTGACCACAAATACAATCTGACGAGGGCCTGTTCTTTCATCCCCTGGGATGTAGCACTAAACACTGGATAAATCTGGAGTGGTAGCCTGTGGCAGAAGCAATGCCATCTTTCATTTATTTGCTCAAAACATATTTTATGACAACAGTATATAAAATGGTTCTGATAAAAGGACTTCACTGTGCTTCAGGGCTTTAATGAAGCATTTCCACAAAAGGCCCTATCAAATCATCTTTAATATTGTGGAGAAGAGTACTACAGAACAATGTTCTTGTAAAGGTGTCATATTTTTACAGAGGAAAGAATTATTTTCTTATTTGAGCTGTTTCATCAAATCCTCTTCATTTTAAAGGACATCTTCAGCTGTTTGCACATGTCTGCACACTGGATGCTAAGCACCTCTCCCCATAATCCTTAGCTTAGCAAACAAATACTAGGGTGTTTTAGACTGCTGCTTGACCTTTCATCCAACTTGCCTCCATTTTATTACACGAGACACAAGACACTCTGTAGCATCTCATTCTGCTACTTGATATGCATGAGCGTGCTCATGAGAGACACACAGCCAGACAAATCAGTTATTATCTTTAAATGATAATCTTAAATCCTGCAATGTAGACTCCTGGAAGCTATGGGGCAAAGGCATCATATCTACAGTAATTTAATGAGAAATCACACTGGATAATAGGGCTTGGTCATGCTTGTGCAGCAAGCATTGCTACCACTAACTAGCTGTACATCAGAGGCGTAAAGACAAAACAACTACAAAACAAATGGTGATGAGAGTTCTGCGTGTAAAGGCCATTATAGTAGCTTAGCACTTTTGTTAGGAGGGAACAGGCAATAATCCCTTTAACCAGACAACAAAAACAGCATTAACAGCTCAATTAATTTCCTCCTGCTGGTTCTCTGCTGGTTTAACCAAAGGGAGTACACACACACATGCACACACACACGTACACCTGCAGTCATTTGCAGAGCATTTTAGAAAAGTAAACCCTATTTATCTTTGTTTAGCTCATTAAGCTTGTCTCAAGAGCATTGTTGTCAAAAATAAGGGGAGATGATTAAAGCAAACTGAATCTACCATATGAATAATGTCACTTCATGTTCACTTGAAAAGTAGAGTCACCTTTTAATTGCGTATACACCGTGTCAGATATTAAATGCCCACTGAACTAACTCGAGCTCAGTGGGTAATTAGTAGAGGACAACATGCAACCCAGATAGGTCTTTCCATGATGAGGTTAGTAGGCTGAGCAGAGTCTAGCTGTTTAATATCTTACTAATGTAAAGCACTAATTAGGGTGTTTTGCCTCTCCAACATTTTAAAGGTGTTTGAAGTGTGCAGTGTAGTGCTCCAAACCTACTGCAAATGTACATACCCAATTAGAAGTGTCTCTAAAGAGGATGTTTTGATGTTTTTGGATGTTTTTTGCTAAATGAGGCAGCTTACCCGGCACTCCTTTCATGAACTGCCTAACGAGAAAGGGTAATTGTACTCACGGTCGCTGCAGAGAGGGCCACCATAGGTCGTCATGGTGCAGTCACAGGTGAAGCCCTCCCACTGCTGCAGACACACACCCTGGTTAGAGCAGGAGTCCTCTGTGCAGGTGGTGCCAGGGCCAGCTGGAGGGGGGATAGTATATATGAGTATTCACTTCAACAGGGCCTTATGTTATACAAAACTGTTCAAAAGTTTGGATTCATCTGTCATCTTACTATTTTTTATTATGTTATTCAATAACAACATATTCAATAATAACACAAGGTAGATACAATGTTGACTGAAATGTTCTAAATTAAAAATACATTCTTCTTATTATTATTATGTAGAAAATACTAAATAATATACTTTACTTGTATAATTATAATAATACACAATACTTATATATACTTATATATTTATAGCATATAATATATAGTTCTAATTATGAGGCATTCTGGATGTTCATTTTATAATAACTTCATTTTTGATGCTTTCCTCTATAGCTCTGCTCATTATTATGGACACTTTTACATTTTTAAGAATTTTACATGAATTATTTTAAATTAAAAAAAACTTACAAAGTACTTTCATGATATTAGAATCATTTTGTACATGTATCTGCAACAAAATTGATTTTGTATTATTAAAAACACTGATATCAAATATTAAAACAGTGGTTCCCAATTTTGAATTTGATTCTGTTCTAATCAGAAAATCAGGTAAGACTACCTGTTTGATTTTGTCACTCAACTTGGCCACAAACCACCCACTTTGGCTATCTGACTGACATCCAAACTAACAACCACTGTCTATAGTATACATCAGACTCTGTGTACTACTGTGGGCGGAGCTTCTAAAGCTGGGACTATGTAAGGAGCAGGTAGCAGATCAAACCTAAACTCACCATCACATCCTCTCTCCACTTGGCCCACTTTGTGCAGGGCATCAGCAATAAGATCTGGCAGCCTGCCATTCAGGTCCACAGAGGCCAGACAGCCCTGGTAGCCATCCCGAGACGCTATCAGCTTGGGCAGGCTGTTGTACATGCTCTTCCCCACACCACCAATGTACAGCTCTCCTGGAGAAATGAACCAGTGTTAGACAGACAAATGTATTGTATTACACATTACAAAAATTCAGTCATTAATCAGCAGTTTAACCATTTTATTTGATGAGTAGAGCTTCATATGGAGGAATGATTCTTTTGTTCTCACTAATGATCTGTTCATTTGATGCTAATTTCCTGGCGATGAAGGATAACACAAATGTACCTTTGATGTGCAGCAGAAAAAAAGAGCAAATTGTTTGCTGTTGAAGTGTGCATATAATCAAGTTAACAAAGAAGTTGGCCTTCAGTCTCTGAGAAAATGTTTAGAATGCAGGATATGCAGATAAACACCAAAACTGAAAGACAAAGCATCTCGGCTCAGCCTGCTTGAATTTCAGAGATGACGTATTATGAAAAGCTGTGGAATGATTAAGGGGGAACCCCCCAAAAAGCACACACCTGCAACAATTATATAGCCTACACAACTGGCAAAGAGCCAGCAGCAATGGTTCTACATCATCTCTGTTTTGGTGCTGTACGTTGCTGACTGGTCTATTGAGGCTACTGCATCTGTATGCATACCTGTGCAGGCCCTCATTAATTCTATGGCAATTACAACCCGTGGAAATGGTCAAAGATGAAGAAAGACCCTCCAATCACCTAGCTGAGGAGAGCATATTTAGAGGGCATTATTTGTGAGGGAAATCTCTATCTAATTTCACTGAGCTCTGGCAGAAAGACAGGCAATTATGTTCTATAACTGACAAGCAGGAATACATATGGCAATTTTCATCCCACAGTGCAAAAGTCTGCTTTCCCTGCTTGTTTGCTGAAACATGCTCTTTCTCCCTCCTAAATTGACTAAGGCCAATTAGACCATCATTGAAAGCGCTCTTCATAACCTCCTCAACTCTATTTAATTTGATCCAACTGTGGAGAAGTTGCATTTTATCATTCTGACCTTCCTCGGTCATTACAGACCTCTTGACTTACTAACCACATAATTGTCCACCACAGCCTCCACAATAACAGCACCTTCCTATCCCTAACTAAGGAGGTCTGGATACTCCAATGAATGCATTGGCATTGCAAACTGTTTAAAAACTGCACACAGGGCAAGACATTTCAACATAATCCATTTATATGTTACAAGATATCTATAACTTCAAAGTTACAGTTGATTTAAAGTTGTGGAACTTTAACCTCTAATCAGTATTGTGAAGATCTTATAAACTGCAAAACAAGCACAAGATTTCAATGTGCCTCTTAAACTTTTCATTAGTAGAATATTTTTAAAACTTATAAAAATACAATACAATTCAATAGGTTCAAAATTAGGTGTGTGCAATACATACCTTCAGACACTTTCTAATTAAGTCCATATGCATGTGCATGCCAAATACTACCATTAGCCACGTTCACATGAAGCCTAATAATCCGTTAATAATCTGACTAATAGCTCAATTGGAATAGAATACATCCATGTATACACCTCAATTGGAATAGAGTAGTCTCACTGAAGCCATTTGTAATACAATTCCTATCCGATTGAAGGAGGTGGGTAATCCTGTAGATATTCCATTAAGCCTGTATCCGATTACATTCCCAATCGGCAACTTTAAGTATGTTCTGCGCATGAGCGTTCACGTCATAGTGAAAGTTTATAACGTTCAACATGGCGGGAGCAGAAACTAGTCTGCAAAAGAGATGAAGTTTATGCTTTGAACTTTAAAAGACGGTGGTGGGACTGGTGTCCAGCTTATGTGTCTTAAAACATGACGTCCTCCTCTCGCCCTTCTTTAATAAGTACATGTGAAGTACATTTTTTAAAAACTCAGAGTGGACCTCACATGATGCTCGCTGTCATGGTAACGTCTACACTAACTGTTACTGTATGCATGCGCATCATTTTGGATCTGTTTACTTGTGTGCATGTAAACGTAGATTTTCATCAGAATGTTGAGTAGAGTGAACATATAAACACAAGTCTTAATCTATAATCAGAATGTATTCAATCGGATTGGCAAAAGTCTTTGCATGTAAACACAGCCATTGCCACAGTCAGCATAAAACCATTTTTTTTTGCCAAACACCTGCTACTCTTTACCATGTGAAAAATTTATACTGAATGTATCAACTCTTTTTATATTTATGTCAAACATTAAGAAGGTTTTTTTCTTTCCCTTTTTCCCTTTTGGAGATGCATTTTTGTTCTGCTCTTTGTCAGAAATAATAAGAAGATACAATAAGTCATAGAGGATTCTTAGAGATTTAGGACAGATGTAGAGTAATGTCTTCTCACATAGTTTAAAGGAAAGATTTGCAGTCAGCACAGGTCCTTGCATTAGCTTTGCACAGTCACTGTTATACATTGACTACTGGGAAGACGGCAATCACACATATCCAATTATACACCCAATAGTTTCTTTAATCACTCATCCAGTGTCTGAGTGAGCTGGGAAAGCATGGAGGACCTTTCATCCCATAGAAATAAGAAAATCAATTGCTTTCTGATAAATTGCAGTGCAATTTTAAAATGACATCTCCAGCCATTTTTCTGTGATGAGCAATGATATATTCATGCCCAAGACAGGAAGGGAAACATGTTTAGCCACAGTCGATGACCACATGATTAAAATCTTGCTGCAATCGCTACTACTTCTCAAAACTGCTGGAACCTCAAGTACCACCAGCCCATATTATTTCATATTGGAGTTTTCCTACATCCAACACTAGAGTTCTGCAAAGAATGGATGATAATACAATTAAGTGAAATCCTAAAATTTTATTTTATAAGATTCATCCCACATTATTTTAGCAAAGTCTGCTTTGTTTTACCAAAACGGTCCATTTTCTAAAATGAGAAAAAATGTGGTCAAAATCAATGGGATGATAACAAAACCTCTAAGAATAATAAAAATAACAAATGATATAGAAGAACAGAAAATAGAGAAAATAAAAGAACTTAACAAGAAAGAAACAATAAGAATGATATGATTAAAAAATGATATGCAAAAGTTGCAAAAGTTTGGGTGCCCCTGGTCAATTTGCATGTTTTTTGATTTTCAAAGTGAAAATAAGTACACTCTGAACACACTTCTGCATATTTTAACCTACAATTACTGTTTATTTGCTAAATTACAAAAGAAAATGTGGCCTGTGTAAAAGTCATGGCACAGTTTATATTTTATGTTTTACTTTTTCCAATGTTTTAGCTGCTTTTTAAAATAGAAGCTGCTAAAAGGATGCTTCACGTATGTCTTATGGGGGGAGAGGTCCTCAAAATAGTAACCTGATAGGAAAAAATGTTCTTAATTTTAATGAACAAGATTTTACTCCTAAATATGGAAGTAGTCAACACTTCTACTTTACTTCCCAACTTCATGCATTTGCTGACTCATTAGAGGAAAAAGAGAGAAAAACAATTACAATACATCCCATGTCGATGAAACAAATTATCTGAAACAGCTGTAAGCATTAGAAAAGAAGCCAAGTCTTTGGAAAAAAAAACTCAATTAGCAGATATCTTGGTAGGAATCTCGGCATGAGCATTCTGTGTGTATTCTGGTGCCAATAAACAGAACAGGTCAACCATTACTTTCTACTGATGGATCTCAAATTCCACACATCAATGCCATCCAATCCCTCCCATTTGAGGACGCTCATTTTACACTTCACAGAAACGGGCCGGAGCCGGAGGATTCCCACACTTCCCTCCATTCTCTCTCACATAATTGCTTGAGCAATTACAACTGACACATACTGCGAGGCTGTTCTTTTGATGTCTAAAGGACTTGTTCTAAAGAAACCCAATGAAAGGGCCCTTGGAGCCTGCTGTACTGACAGCAGGAAACGCTGCTTTGCAGCCTTATTTGATTTGGACTTTATTACACATGTGGATTGAGAGGGAAATTGACTTGACTCTTGCAGTAAGATTCAATGGTTCAAATAAAGTAGCTTTTTTGTGTTCGAAAAACGGTTCTTTTAAAAAGGCCTTTATATACTTAATATCATTATCCAGTATTCTCCTAATCCTTGGGAATAATCAACCTGTTCTCTGGAGGAAAGCAGAGTAATGAATTAAAGCATGGACAGGCATAATGAACACACAAGCTAAACGAGCAAGCGTATTTTCTTTCATTTATATGTGTAGTTAATTGTGCAGAAATGCTCTGAATTCTTCATTTTAGCAGAATGTCTTCAAGGTGGAATACACATACTGATACTAGGATTCTCCATATTACTAAATTCTGCACTATACTGCGAAGACTCCAAATATTCTAAGTATTCAATGTGAACTACTTACCTTAGCATAATATATCAAAGTATCAAATAAAAAATGCAATTTATTGTGACAGGATTTGAGAAAGCTGATCTTGAGCCTTCTTTTGGTTCTGCTAGACTTTCATTTAGCCAAGCCCAGCACAGTCACAGAAAACACGATCAACAGATGAATCTGTTATTCTGCGTAAGTTAAAAATAAAATGTTGAAATACTGCCCAAGGAGAGCTAAATGTTTTTTTGCCTTCTTCAAAAACTCACTCACAATTACTGATTAAGGCATTTAATTCTACTTTCTTTTAATTAAAAAGCCTTGCCTTTCCAATTTATTAGCCTAAATGAATAGCCAGAGAGTCAGCACTGGCTGAGACAAACTGCCCACCCAAGGTCAATGAGTGAGTACACATCACATCTGTGACTAGGTATTCCTCCCTTATCTTCTTTTGTATAGCAAAGAAATTTTTATTCGTGTTCTTTTTTGAGAATATCAGCTTATTGCTTTGTTTGACACACACAGAAACCTTTGGATTGTCAGCCAAGGTTCACAGCATACGAATAATAGTAACTGGAATTGAAAGAGCTCAATCATCAGTAGCAATTTAAAACTCCAGAAGGATGTTCTATTCTAACACATGCAGTCCACCCCTCATTTTTTTTTAATTTCCAGCTATAAAAGATAAAAAAACAGCTATAAAAGTACAAGTTATTATTTTTTCAGTACTGGGAGAAAAGGCAGAAAACATACAGTTTACAGAAAATTACCCAGAAGCCTCACCAATTAAATGTAATCTTAAATTGTTCCGTATTTAGTGTGCCCACACTTTGTCTTCATTACAGCTTCCATTCTTTTCAGGAGACTTGCTTTCTGTTTTTCAAAGAAATCTTCAGGGATATTTTAGTTAAGTCTTAGTTGAGTGCATTTCTTGCTTCTCACAGTCCAAATAAACCCAAACATGTCGAATGATGTTGAGGTCTGGGGTGGTCAGTCCATTGTTCTGAGAACAGTGGCAGATCCTTTGTTTGATTTGCAAATTTTCTTCTGTTTTGTCTATTTGCTTTTCTCAGTAACAGCTTCTTGACAGCTACAAATATTTTCAGACACATAGTGTTGAGTTGTCTTCTCAGAGTGGGAGGATGGACAGAAACAGCTGTGGATTTTTCAGATCTGAAGCAAAAATGAAGCTTGATTTTCTCCTCTCTCCCATAAATGAAAGCTTTAAGCACTGCTTTTCTGATGGTGACATTTTTGGTGGTCTACCAGGTCTTGTATGGTTGTTAAAAGTCCCATTTTCTCTGTATCTTTTAATTATTTTTTGAACTCCAGTTTTGGAGATCACTTATTTTCATTTGACCTCCCCCTTTCTTACGCAAATCTTATAAGTAAGAAAATATCTCAGAAAAATCTCCTCAAAAATGAAACTTTTACTTCATGTACTCACATTAAATAAATGAAGGCTGGTGATTTTTGCACAGTACTGTAAAAGGTGAATAATAAGATGTCTAGTGTATTAGGCTTATTCAGTCATGCATCTATTTTAATATTAGTCACGTCACACTTTTTACCCTGTGGTAACAATATAAAGATCGAAGCACAATGAGGAGCAGAATGTGGTCTGATGCAGAATCAATTGAAAACTGCAAGACTGAATCATGGAGGTTTGCTAGTTCAGAAATGTGAAATTATAAGCTGAAATGTTTTTTCCTGAAGGCGCTGCTGTTTCTTGTTCTAACTACAGACAGAAAATGAGATGTGCTATGTTGCGGTTCCTTGTAAAAATACTGAGAGGTAGATTTTTTTTTCTTTTTGAAATGGGATGCACCTGGGGAGCTGACAGCTTTATAAATAGCCTGAAGGAACAGCTGCTTATTACAGTTTTCAGGGAGTCAAAATTAAATACAAGAAAAATGGGTAGCTGGAAATGTATGACAGCATTTTAATAGCATTTTCAAAAGAGTCCAGCAAAGGTCAGAAGGCAATTCCCAAGGCCCACCGTATGGAGGACACAGTATATGCCATGCTGTTGAGGCAGTATCATTAATCTAGTTTAGAAGCACATATATGTTCCAGATGTGGTTAGAAAACAGGAAGCCTTTTAACAGGCAAGGTTAAAAACAAGGCAGTACCTTTGAGGTCCAGGTTGCGGGCTCCGTTGGAGTGCTGCGTGACGGTGCGAGAGTCGATTTTGAGCGTGTGCACATTGCTGTCATCTCGGGACACCAACACGTTGTGCCACTGGTTGTCGTTGAGTGGCTTGTCAGAGTTGCCCTTCATGAGTGACGGCCCATTGCCCAAGTCAAAGACATAATGGATGTACCTGCAATACATCAGTTTCCCTTTCAATCAGACAGCCCAGCCAAAACATGCAGTACTTTTAGGGTCACAGTGTCTGCAAATCAATATCAGTAATAATCCTTGAACTACTGCCACTAACAGAGGTCCCACCCTGCCAAGCACTGTAAAGCTGAAGTGTGCAATCCAACTTTTGTGATTCACTGTAATCAGCAGTATGTCCCTTGGATATTCCAGTGGTTAAACATTCTGTACAGTTCTCTATGTTGTAGTGGTTTCATAAGACATTATTTGGCAACAAGTTGATTTTCCACAACAATGATGAAAAATGCATAGAAATCTATATTTAGCTAGCTTGTTCCACACAGTGTACATCAGGTGTCTTCTTCCTCATATAGCATGTCATGCTTGTCAGTGAATTCTTGTCAATACAGCCACACTACTGTAAAGACGGGAAGAGAGAAAGGGAGAGAGACACTATCAAAGAGAAAGAGAGGAAGATGTTTTGGTCATGTCCAATTGTGAATTTGATGCTAATTTGATGCTTAGTGTTCAACAAAGAAAGGTTATGATGGCAGCCTTAACTGCAGCCAAGAAATAAATCCTGAAATGTTGGTTTGAACCTAACCTTTCTTTATCTCAGGTATGTTGTGAATATTTTCTGGACATTCTCATTTTGGAGCAAGCGACAGCCAGATTCTATAATGCCAAGGCAGCAACAATTCGTTTTTTGACTGATGCAATCAACTATGCAAAGTGTTTGTGCTAAGTAAGAAGAAAGAAGGAGATAGAGAGAGAAGAAGGGAGAGAGAAAAGAGTGAGAAAAATATACATATATATATATATATATATATATATATATATATATATATATATATATATATTATTTTTTTTTGTTTTTTTTTTTTTTTTTTTGTTTTTTTCCCCTACTCTTATAGAAACAGAGAAAGACAGAGAGAGACAGAGAGAGAGAGAGAGAGGAGACAGAAAGACAAAGAAGGTGACAGAGAAAGAGCAAGGGAGAGAGAAACAGAGATAAGGAAAGAGAAAGCAAAAGTGAAAGAGAGAGAGAGTGTGTATGCTGGGTGAGCAGTGATCTCTCATTACAGTGTTTTCATTCAGCATGCAGCAGCAGGCTCCAGTGAGAGGCAAGGCCACCTGCTGTCTAATTGCTTACTGAATGACTGGCTTTCTGGATGGCGGCAGCACAGGAAGTTAAACATCTGAGCTTCTTGCCTTTTACAATATTAATTTTCAGCCAACTAAATAAAATGAATTCGAGAGTGAAACAGCATTGTCATAGTTTTATTTGCCACAAGCAAAGTGGATTGACTTGTCCCCAAACATGGGATTTACCAAGCCAGAACAAAGAAAAGCTGTGAAAGGCTTGTGTATTAAGCTGTGCGGGTTGCACTGTGCGGTTTGCAAATAAATAGGAGAATTATACAAAATCACACCATTTTCATATGATTAATTCAGAATGTATTTAAAATACATTTAAGGTTTTAGTCCAATTTGCACACTATTTAAGAGGAACATGAATATATAGTATAGTGTTGTATTTCCCTTCTCTACTTTTAGGGTAAATAAAACCACTTTTAGGCACAATATATTGTTGGTTAATCAATACTGTGATATGGGCATTTGCAATACCTAGCTTAGTGATAGCAGAGGTGAGTCAACAACCAGAAGGTTGCTGTTTAAATCCCAGGACTGCCCAGGTATACGTAGGGCAGTGGTCGCACTTAAGCCGCTGCTCCCAGATTGGTCACAGTTGAGCAGCAAAATGACAAATTTCCCTTGTAAGATAATACAGCACATAACAATCGCAATATGTAGCAGTATAATTGCAACACTGCATGTAGTGCATATCATGCAGGACATGAACTACATACCACACCAACATCAAATAGACCCAGCACAGAGGAGTAGTCATATAAAAGAGATAATCTCTGTTATTTTTAAGGCTGGTCACCACTTTAAAACACATCTACGCAGACTGGTCCATGTCCAAATCTACCAGCTAAACTTAGCTACCGCATTTGTCATGATGTCTATATGGTGAATCATCAAATGTGTCCTTATACCTTTTACTATATGCCACTGCCAGGAGGAACAGTGGATAAATCGATTGCGACTTGACTCACCCTCCTACTTCTCTGAATCACATATACTGAATTCTCAAACTCATCAAAGTAAGACCACTGCAAAATTAAATAAATACATAAATAAAATAAAACTGTCACACTCAGGTTTGCTCATTTGCTGCATTTCCACAGCATCTGTTCAAGATAAGCCAAGAGAATTAAGGTGTGCTGGTGAGATTTCTAACAGAGTTACTGGTGGAGATAGAAAGAAACATTAATCAAACAGCAGCCTTCTGATCGACTGCAATAGGGACAGATATGAAGAGATACAGAAAAAAAAGGCTTCTTCACTCAGCACTATAGCTGCTAAAGGCAACACGTATAACCCAGCGTTTCTCAACACCAGTCTGTTGCCCACCAGCACTGCATAGTTTTTATGTTTTCCCTGTGATAACACACCTGAGTCATACCAATAACTAATTATCTTTCGCTTCTTGAGCTCAATCAAGAGCGTTAGAGCAGGGGAAACATAAAATTGTGCAGAGCAGGGCGGGCTCCAGGACTGGAGTTTGGAAAAATGGAATTGCATCAGCTTAGCCCAGCAGTCTATAACCCTAGTCCTGGACTACCCCTGCCTTATATAGTTTAATGTCAAAATATAATGGAGAAAATACTGTTGATTTAAATGATAGTAAGCTGGCAAGCAAAACACGAATGTGAATGATGTAATGTGGCAAAAAAAAATACTAATCTGTTTAATTAAATGCTATCCGATGAAGAATTCAAACCCTTGTTAAACCAGGGAGTAACCTTACGTCTGGGGAATTGATCTTTATTTCTTGCTCGCAGGTACCCAGACATTTAGCCAGCTGTTGAACAATGGACAGTCACAATTATATAGGCTGGACTGATGCCAAAATTAGACCCAGTCTATACATGACAAGTGACAGGTGTGACAGACATGACCATGTAGGGAGAAAAACTGGCTGAACAGAATGTTCAATCACACCACACGCATGGTACAAAACACACAATATGGAAAATAATAGCATATAACCCAGCAATAAAGCACATAACACAGCAGTACATTCTTTCACTTGTCAGAATGCAGGCTGCATTTCTCGGCTGAATTTGAAAGAGCCATCTGACTATAACAGCTTTCGATGACACAGTGGTCCAGCTAGCTTCAACCTCTTGAGCTTTTATTATTCAGTTACTAATCTTAAAGCATTTCATTTAGTAATTATGAACGATTTGGTAACTATTATGTAACTAATATGTAAGTCATGTAGTTAAGAGCGTCAGTGTGGGCCCACATGTTTATATTATGAGAATAGATGGACAATGAAAAAATGGATGTTCCAGGTTTCTCAATGGAGAAGCCATAGGAAAAACAGGACTGGGAAATGTACTTTATTTGTTTAGCGAGACTGCTAAAGCCGTTTTTTCTTCATCATGTTCTGTTCCATCACCATGGCAACATTAACATAGCTGTATGGTGCTGTCAGCTGCAATGTTTATAGCAATTCTGAAATGAGGTATGAAACAATGTTTTTTTTAACACCAACATGTGAATGAAGCATTGGATTTTAAGAAGTTAATTAGCTGATTAGCTGGATCAGGTCAGAGTAGAGAAAACAATAAAATACGCAGGCCAGGGGTACTGCAGGAACAGGATGTGGATTAGCATATCTAGCTCATAAGATTTTTAATATCTCTACGAAGAGTAAACACAGAGGGCCAGATGTACATATGAGCACAGGCACAGCACGGAATGTGCCTGGATGCAACAGCAATATGTTCTCACAATATGCATGAAATTAACCTTTGAGTTACCAAGGCAGCACACAGCACCGCAAACTGAGCCTAGCTTCGCCTAACTAACTGTACTCTGATGAGGAGCGGGGTTTAAACTACACAGTGAAATAATGCCGTCACCAAGCTCAAGACAAAAAAAGAAATGAAAGTTCAGTGACAAGGAGGTAGCAGTGCTAACACATGAAGTTCTCTCCCATCAAAATATCCTACAGGGGTGTTGTGCTACTCCAGCTAAGAATTTATGAAACAATGACGCATATTGCTGGGTCTTCTCACACTCGTACATCAGATTCTGAGAGCTGAAATAGTGTTATCCTTTCAGTGAATATTCTTTCAAACCCTGTGTCCATGTAATCACTGTGGCTGCTGCTACTATTAAAGGAAATCTTCCAACAACACGCCTTTCAGACCACACCGCAAACTTACGCTTGGTTTTAAAAGGAGAAAAATGACATGTTAAACTAGCCGCCACTGGTCACTCAAACTTTAGCAAATCGAGCGAAATATTTAATCAGCTGCACTTGCAATTTCTCTACCCATTTTCTGCACAATGCTTTCAAATGTTGTGCAATCCCTCCTCAAATGCAAACACATGAGAGATAAGTGCATTTTGCATTTTTTACATGTACATGGCCCATAAATTGCATATTAAGGCTTGTATGCCAGTTTCACACATAGTAAGCAGGTAAAATCTGTCCAATCTGTATCTGAAACTGGGCCAAAAAGTTTAGTACTTTGGGACCAGAGTATACAGAGTAAACCTTACTACTTGCTCTCTGTCCACACTCACCCTTTAACCAGCTCCACCACAATGAAGTCGCTGCCGTCTCCGGAGTTGAAGAGCAGCAGGCCATCGGGGCTGGTGGTCTTGAACTGGAAAAAGAGGTGCATGGAGGCGTAGGCCTGTAAGGTGGACAGTGCTAAGTAGCTGGCTCTGCTGCGGAAGCTGACCGGGTCGGCCACAATGCGGCGCATGCCGAAGCGTGCGTTCAGCTCGCAGTAGGAGATGTCCCCGTTCTTGCACTGGTCCAGGTACGGCATGCCGTTGAAGTTGAGGCCCTGCAGGTGCCCGATGAAGTTGGAGGGCATGATGGAGATGAAGCGTCGCTCCGTCATAATGCCCGTCTCGATGTGGTGGAACTCCAGCTGTGTGTGTGCTCCGCTCATCTGGCCTGGAGTGCGAGCAAGAGTGTTCAGTTACTTTACTGCACAGTCTCAAAAAGAAAGGTGCCAAAAAACGGTTCTTAAGAGCAATGCCTTAGAAGAACAAAGAACTTTTCAATGGGTGGTTCTTTAAAGAATCATTCTTGTGAACAAGATGTTTGAGTGTGAAGATATTTTAATAATGTCCACATTATGTAGAGGTTCTACTCTAATTAAAGGTTTTACCTTGTCCAAACCAAGAATCATTTTGGAACCTTTATTTTTAGGAGTGTACTTCACTTTGTTTGTTTAACAGGAACAATTATTTTATGTTGCATGTCAATATCCCAAAATTAGCCAATTAGTTAATTTTCATCTGCTGTCTTTTGGCAGGCTGATGTTTTAAAGGACACTCTGGCCAAAATGAAAATCTGTCCATCAATCATCATGCAATCTGTTGTAAACATGCAGACGCGCCTCCTACAGCAGGGTTGTGCTAGACTCCAGAGCAAGATTTTCTGGTTTACAAACTAGAAAATCCCTCTTTTTACAATATATCTTGCAGGTGGGAGGAACTTTTAAAAAGCTAAAGCACTTTGGGGCACAGACTTGACAGCAATTTGTTTGAAATCTTTTTTTGGCTAATGCAGAAGGAAGCCAGATAACTAATGTTACTGCTGGGAAGCCGAATATCACGTCTGCATTTGTTGGCCTCTACATCAGTGGTCACGCCAGCAGTCAGGATTTCTTTAGCGCCGTAGGGTCATTCCCAATGTTTGTATGACGTATTTGCATAATGCGTTCTGAGTACTGCAGTGAAAAAAAACACTGACTGACTAAAACACAAAAAAGATACAAAATCCTGAATCCTGTCAAACTTACTAAGCTTAGGGATAAAATGTTGCATTAAAGAATACTGCATAACATGACAAATAACATTGTTTTTCTATTTAATTTTTCCTGAGGTCCATTCATAACTTCTGTATGTTTAGGTACCACAAACAGTTCTTATTAATTTTTACATAATCATTTTCTAACCTCTCTTTATCCCTTAGATAGAATTTTGGTATTGCGCCTTTAAGGCCTTTAAGGCCACCATATATATATATATATATGCATGATCTTTGTTCTGACTGGCTGAGCTCTACTGTGCCTCATTAGAAAATCAGTCTAGGCTAAAATACTCCTTTTAACTTCAATATGATTGGGAGGAGCTAAACTGCTGTAGGCTGAATAGGTGGGCATATGTAAATCCATAGTTTTTTCATGACATTGCAAAAAATATGAATTCAAAATGGTCTGTTTCTCATACTGACACTTTAATAATCCTAATACTTCAATAAACTATTTAATTTCAAAAGTGAGGGAATTTATTTTTTCATGTTACTCATCTTTTAAATAATAGTTTCAGGCCAGAGTGCTCAATAAATAGAATACTCAATAAATACTCAATACTCAGCAATACTCACACAAACTAAACAAGGACTAAAGCATTACAAAGGTCTTATTACATAGCACATACAACAATCACATAAAAAGTAAACACATAAAACATGTAATTCGACTTCTTTGAGAATAAACCAATGGTTGAAACTGTGCAGTGTCATGTCTGAGTAGCAGCATGTCTGGGACTGAATGGGCACGTACAGTTCAAGCAAAGGGCCATATAGAAATACCTGCTCTTTCTGACTGAATACAGAACTGCACACATTAGAAGTCAGAAGAGAGATCATTAGATTAATATGTATATGTGTGTACGTGTGTGCAGTCCACTCACCCTCCACAGTCACATTGTCTACAGAGAGCTGCAGGCTCTTCCCACGGCGCACCACCTTCACAGAGTGCCACTCGTTGTCATTCAGCTTGTGCCCTGCATATAGAGTCTCCGGTCCTTTACCTACGGAGAGAGAGGGTCAAAGTCACTCACCGCCTCAGGCTGCCTGCCTCATCAATACACTCCACCCTCCTCCATCCCATAGGCCTACAAGAGGTTGAAATGCTATCAGCACTCTCCCTCTATCTCTCTCTCTCCCTTGCACAGTTGCACCTTACACATACATCATTTATAGAGAAAGTGGCTATATACTACATTGTTCTACTTTTTCTCAGGTTTGTCCTGATTTATGTACTAAAATTAGTCATTGCTTTGTCATAATTCACCACTATATTTCTTTGAATTAAGTAGGCTGTTATTGTTATATTGATACCTATATTTTTCTTGCATTTTACTTCTTTCCTGAGGTTCACATATGAAGTCTGTGTGCTTTTTATGCACCAAAAACAGTGGTAGTTCATTTTCACATGACCATTTTCCAACATCTTGTAATGCCTTAGAATTAAACAGGCTGTTTTTGTTACTGTGCCTTTGAGACTGATATATGTAAATCATCTCTAGTCCAGGCTGAAACACTCATTGTAACTTCAGCATGAATGGGTGGGGCTAAGCTACTGTAAGCTGAATAGACGGATATATGCAAATGTGACATTACAAAACAGGCTGCTGTTGTAGCTTAGTTTCAGTATATGGACTGTACAAACTGGGGAGTGAATGGCATGTTTTGAAATGTTAACAACGTTTGCATAAACATAAAAAGGAAAATATGTTGTTTTTCCCCCGACACTGCCCGCAGTAATAACACTCCTTATTACTTCACTGTAAATAAGCTAAACTGATGTAGGCTGAATGGACAGTCATATGTAAATGCATTTAAGGTTGTTATATCACATGCATGAATTATGAATTCAAAATGTGCCATTTTTGAAGCTCAAAATATACATATGGACTATATTATTTAAAAATATGTTTAAGCAGGATTAAGGGTGAAAGTAAAGGTTGCGACTCTTAAGGCCACTGCACATCAGACTTACTATGCAGTATGTGATGGCGTCATGCAGCATCACATAGTCGAGTTCTGCTATAGTATATAAAATGCATTGCAGAGGAAGCGCAAATGTGTCGGTCTTAAGTCTTCTTGTGCAAAGCAGGTTCATTCTCAAACTATGCTGTAGTTTATTGTAATGCATAATACATTTGTTGTTTGCCAGCAGAAAATCTCATGTAATAATCTTACAGGTAAGGCTATTTTATTTTTCAGCTGCCTCACAAGACTGCCTGAAGATCCGCTTAAAGATTTACATGGAAGCCTGACAGCAGAGGGAATATGCAACATCATTCAAAAGCCTCAGATTACAGGTATTAGAGTATTATTGATATGGCAGTAGCACACCGGCTCTCATCACATCCTCAGCAGCTCAGATGGTTAATTGAAATTGGGTCATGGCAAAGCAGCAGCTTCAGCTTCCACCATGCAAACTGGGTACTGACCGGGATGATGCTTCAAAGCACATCTGACACCAATGCTGCCTATTTTAACTGCCAGAGCCAGGCAGGCCTGCCACTGAAGTTGTTATAATTCTGTCTTAGTGTGTGTGTGTGTTTGTGCGCATGCCTGTAGTTCACACACTTTCTGCAGCTGCGTTGTTTCAATATGCTGAAACCTCAGGGAACCGAGTATGGAGCCTTGCTGCACACCCGCTGTGCTCTCTGACATCAACCGGCCTCCAAATGCATTCAGCTCCACCAAGTCCACAAGAGACCAGCAAATCAAATAACATGCCTTCCACTGTACCAACAGATGCATCACAAGTATAATTTTAGAGAGAGAGTATATATATAAACTCATACATTTCTCACCTTTACTTAACACAAAAAGTGAGGCTTGTGGCAGCCCTGGCTTGGATTCCATTAAAAACCTGAGAGTGCGAAGCAATGCTTGGCAATGTTTGATGGATATTCATTAGATCTTGCATATCGGGGTGTGTCTGTCATATGCTTGCCCTAATTAGCAGCACTCCTCTCAGCTCCTCTCGAAGACGAACGCAGGAAGCAGAAAAGAGGGGCGCTGACATTCTCGCACCTTCTGGCACGTTGCTAATTAAATCTAAGCTGTTACCCGCCCCAATTTAATATGAAAGGAATTTACACATCCCCTTATTTCACCAAGTCAAGATTTATTGTTTGTTGCAAAAAAAATTTTTTTGTCAAATTACATGATATTAGAGCTGATCCTACATGATCTGCAGTATATTGAACAAAAACCTGCAGGGTCTTACTTTTGTATGTAATACCATCAGAAACAAACAATCTGACTACAGTGCAGTAACGAAACAAAGTACAATGAATAAGTGAATAAGTTATGGCTTGTTATAACATCATCCAGAGATATGAGGACAGTGGCCTGCACACCCAGCACTAGCCTGTGTCAGAGAACACTGTGTTTTCAGGGCAGATCCCCAAATATTCAATCTTTAACTTTCTTCCAAACTGCCCAGAGTTTTAGATGGCAACACAGTTCCACTAGTGACCTGTTCAGCAATGTAGGTCATGTATGGGCCTAGAATACAAGTTTCAGCCCTAGGTTCTTCCACTCATTTTTCCAAATGTTCCAGCACTACAAATAGTGGACTCTCATGGTGACAGACGTGATCTGATAACAAGAATGTCTGGAGACAACCATATGATATTCTGGGCTAAACATGGGTTAGAGCGTTGGTGTTATTAGGGTGGGAACAAACTGTATGTGAAATTTCGAAACAAAACAAAAAAAAGGCCTCAAATTAGGGGGCAATGGTGCGCTTATCAACACTGTTGGACAGGTAACAAACCTGTCGTTAGTTAGGATAGCTAAAAAGTCCCAAAAAATTCCAATTAAGCAGATAATGTGCAATGACCTGTGTCATGTGTGCGGAGAACGTGGTAAAAATGAACATTACCTCTTGTAAGGGAAAAGACAGCGTTTTGCTAGCTAGGTTGTTTTGCTTGTGCAGTCAATTATACTCTGGACATTAAAAGAGCATGAATTAAAGGAATTTAGGTGGGTTTTAGAGGGGGTGTACCACTGTCTCGCCACAATCCAGCACAAAAAATTTAACAAGCTGAACCCAGAAGTGTGTCCTGAGATTATGTCAGTAAGCTACTGAGTGAGAGGTCATACTGGATGATAACCACATATTCTACTACAAATGTTTAAAGCACCTACATATCAGAGATTATAGCACATCTTTTTCCATGTACAAATTGCATTAGTCATGCTCTAGCCCTTCATTAAGGGTGCATTTCGGACCACAGGACCACTGTTGGCTGGATATTTTTGGTTGGAAGACTTTGGCAGCACTGACAAGATGTGTAAAACCCCAGCCACACAGCCGTGGCTGATACATTCTTACTATCAATATCATATTGGTGTCACTGCTGTGCTGAGAGCGGTCCACAACCCAAACCAATGCAAAATTGACAAGTGTGTGAGCTGGCAAGGAAAATGCAGTTTTGCTTGCTAGGTCTGCCGTAAGTTAAGTTTCGGTTGGGGCTGAACAAGGCAGATTCCAAGAGGAGATATATGAAAAGCCTGCTATGTATTGGAATTGGCCAATTTTTATGCAAGATTTTTCACTGAAAAACTAGACAAACCTTTTATATTGTGTGTAATTTTAGGCAGACAACTGCATTATGCAAACCTCTTAGGAGGAAGTGTCATCTGCAGTTAAATTTCTATGAAATTACTTTTCTGGTATGAGTGCCCGTAAGTCAGTGCTAAGCTGTTTAAAATGCACAACATGGTGAGGTCAAAAAAGGGACTTCTACCAGATGGCAGAGGGCTCTAATTTAGTGTAATTTACTTTAACTACCGGTGATTTCTGTCTATTTAAAAGTCAATTAACATTTTACCGTCATTAAAACTTCCATCAGTCTAAATATGCTTGTCACACCCAATGACAAACGGGAGGGAGTGTCGGGGGGAATACGCAATCCACAAGACCAGCCACTCACCATGTGGCTATTTTAACTCAGTGTCCTCATGTTAAAAGCTTCAAGCAGGGTGTCACAATACAGGTTTAATATTTTCAATGATACAAAACTGTTGACACAGTTCTCCAAAAATAATTAATCTACACAATTTCTGCCTTTAATCATAGGTCACCCACATTTTAACACTACAATCAGACAAATTTCTTCAATTACCATGAACACAGCCTCACTCTTCAGTAAAGGAAGACCTCTTGTTTCAGAGCAATTGGAAAAAACAGCAGTGTTTTTAACTGGTGAATGTTGCCATCTGGTGGTTTGCAGCAGGATATTTACTATATGGTCTTATGGTATAGGCCTACATCATATAGGACTGAACATGAAAAACAGTTCTGCTTATAGTTTATTTGAAAGTATGATGATGTGCATCAAAAATGTAACCTTGTTGCTTTCTCTTTTATCTTTTGATTTTGCTTTGTTTTTACCTTTTGAAAAACAAGACATAAAGACTGTCTATATCGTTAGGTTTGCCGATATAGGAGATACAGCAAATGTGCACGTTCAGCTCAGTTAAACGTGTAACTTTAGCTCATATTATAATTGTAATTGCAGTGCAGCGTATTAGTATCAGGACGGTTATGCAATTTTTGTTGGTTTCACTCTGAACTTACAAGAAAACAACAGCTATTGTGTGAACTATATAGGAATTAGCATTTATAGGCACATGCGTTTCATTTATGGGGCCATATATATATATTTATGTATAGTATATTTATATACTGTTATGTTTAATGTCTGGTTGCAAATCCTTTGTAACTGATGACTGACTGAAGCTCATGACCTATATATCTTACCAGACACTGGGTAACTTCTGCCACGCCTGCTTGTTTACGGTGCATTTTGTTTTCTATCATGTCTTCAACTGAAACGTCGAGTGATTAACCCTACCAGTCAACATTCTCCTTCTTGGCACTGAGTGTTAATGGATCACTGTTTTGAGGCATTTGGCCAGCGGTTTAGATGCTTCTGTTCTGTTCAGAATGCCTCCTGCTGCCAGCACCAGTCATATCATCGATGAAGATGTCAATAAAGACTGGTAGCCAAACATTTCCATGCCACCACATTTTCTTGCTTGCAGCTCTGATTTAAATTCTGGACAGTAATGGTACACATGCACCAATGTTTTACTGCATGATGACTTTCAGAATGCCCACTCCTCACCATGCATAGTGCAGCAGTTTTGCGACATGTAGCAGCATCTTTATCTGTATGACTTTGTGCCAGAAGTCTACAGGCTATTTCTGTACTTTTATGCAAACTGTAACCTGAATTTCTGTTCGGCTATAATTTACAGAAGTAAGATAAGGTCTCATTTTATTTGGATAAGCCCAATAGATTATCTATAGATATTCAATTTTTTAACAAACTATCTGCTAAACATCAGTTCATTCTCAACAGTGTTAGGGTTAGACTTAGGACCATGGGTGAGGGTTAGGGTTAGAGTTGAGGTTGGGGTTAGGGTACATTAAGGCGAATTAAAAAGATGATGAGCAGAATGTAAGTTAATTGCAAGATAAGCATCTACGAAGCATTTACAGTGGACTATCCAAGCTAAGTGCTACTTCAAATTATTAATAAAAGTAAGCTGTTTTTAGATAAATCTGTCATCAACCACTGAAAACATCCTTTTCTTGGTGATGATGAAAGAGTAAAGGTCTCGACCAAGTCAGAAACTTGTATAGTAATATTATTTCAGAAATTACACTTGTAATTACAACTTAATGGGATGTTCATGTGCAAACTCAATGCTAATTCTGATAACATATGAGGGACGAATGAGGATAGTGACGCAACAACTAAGCAAACAATCATCTAATTACACATGGCCCCTTGCAATGAGAAGAATGTATAAAAATATCTGTGATCCCTCCATGATTCCTCTAATATATATTTAAATACATTTTATTTACATTATGCACTACCGACTGTTTAGTTTCTAATCTAATGTGTTGGAACACAAAGCCAAAACAACAACAACTATGTCGCTGTCTAGTTCTGTATGGTCTGTGCTGCATGCGCACAGGCTCTCCACAAACATGGTGGATAAGGCATGAGGGCATGAATGGTAAATGTGTGGGGAAATGACACAGGGATGTTTTATGAATTCATGTATTTCAGATTTTTTATTTTTTAAGATAAGTTTTTTTGACTCTGCATGTCTTGGAACAGGTTTGTTTACTTACAATTAAACAAATAACAAATAAAGGTAACACAGCCCTCCTCCTCAAAACACACACACACACACACACACACACACACACACGCACACAATCTCACTCACTTGACTTACCTTTTAATGGCAACACGCAAATCACGACTTCATCTTGCAACATTTATTAACACAGCTTTCTACAGCGCTTAAATTCAAGCTTTACTCTGGCACATGCCTAATGCACAATACTATGGTTGTATTCTGATTCTGCAGTGGAATTCTCTTACTGAGCTGAGGCTCAGGGGATCATAAACCAACTTAGTGTTCGAAAAACTGTGAGGAACTCGGGCTGCTATAAAAAGAAGCGTTAAATGGATGGTTATGCTTAATTTGAAACACTGTAGCAATTTGGTGTGTTGTGCAGAACAAAAGAGATAGTTTGAGAGTCAGAGAGGGAGAGAAAGAGAGAGAGGGAGAAAGATGCAGAGAGGGAACACAGTCAGACAAGAGGTTAATAGCGGAGAAAGTGAGAGAAAGGATTAAAAAGAAAAGAAGTGAGTGACAGGCAGAAACAGAATGGCGTTGGATTCTATGGCACAGACACAGTCTTTCAGGAGAAACATTTTGTGTATGAATAAAGGAAGCACTTACTAAGGTTACAGTCTATCCCGATACAATCTGGTGGAGAAAGAGAGTGAGATGGTGAGATTAAAAAAAAGAAAAGTAAAGAAATCATTTTTTTTTTTTAAAAAGAACATCCTTCAAGGTATAATCTGCAGACAGTCAAACAGCATTTCATAAAGCACACCATCCGGGGACAAGCTGAGAGTCAAACCTGCCCCTTTCAGACACTTCCCCATCCCACAAACACAAGAGCATAAAAGGCCAATTCATCCTCTCCAAGTAAAGCTCTGCTTTGGAAACTCAAGAGTCCAACAAACCAGCTTCTCACTGTATGCATTCTTATTAGGAGTGTAAAAACGCCCTGATGCATAGAGATGATCAACTGTGATTCAACTGCATCAATTTAGGGATGCACAGTATGATAAAATATAATAATATTACATCATTAATACATTATGCACTCACCTTTCACTTAAATAAAATTCTAAAGTTCTTTTCAAATGTAAAAATGTCTTTTTAATATATAGTACACTGTGCAAAAGTCACCCTTCATTAATTTTTTTCTCATACAAAACGACCATTAAGTACAAGTTATTTATTTTTCAGGAGATTATTTCTGAGTAGATTAGATATAAGATATATAAGGGGAAAGAGGTATAAGGGGAAACTCAAAAATGGGACTTCCCATTGGGACAACCACAGACATAATAGACCACTACAACTGATACAGAAAAACAGTAGTCAAAGCTTTCAACTTTGCTTCAGATCTGAAAAAATCCACAGGTGTTTCTGTCCATCCTTCCACTGTGAGAAGACAACTCAACACGTTTCTGAAAGGATGTGTAGCTGTCAAGTAATTGTTACTGAGAAAAGGAAACAGACAAAAAAGAAGGAAAATGTACAAATCAAACAAAGAAGCTGCTGGTGTTCTCAGAATCCAGACCTCAATATCATTAAACGTGTTTAGGATTACTTGTATCATGAGAAGAAGAAAATGTGATTCTAAAAGAAAAAAATATCTCTGCATATTTCTTTAAAAAACTGAAAGCAAGTCTCCTAAAAAGAATGGAAGCTGTAATAAGGGCAAAACATGAACAGAACTATATACTGAAAAATAAAGATGTGAATATAGATGTGAAGGCTTTTGTGTAATTTTCTGTTGAATATATGTTTTCTGCGTTTTTCCTGATGCTGAAAAATTAATAACTTGAACTAGAAATTAAATCTATAAATGGTCTCTGACTTCTGCACAGTAATTTGAAATACTTTTAATTGAAGCGGAGGTTAAGTACACAGCTTAACATATACAATATTAATAAGAATATACATATTTGCGCTTAAATTTTTCAGTTTGTGGCAAAATACTGCATGTGACTGCAGATAAATGTCTATATTATACTGTATATACTGTACATAAGGCTACATGTCACTACACTGTAAATAGCTGCATTTGTGCATTATTAAAAATAATTCTGAACTGCATCAAAATAGTCAAATCTAATCAAATTGTGAGATTTATTATGCAATCAACCATTCCCTAAACAACTGTAATCAAACTGAAATGTTTGATTTCCATACTTTGTGGATTTTATCTAGGAGTATTCATCTCAAATCTGCTGATGAATTTGATTATTCAGTGCATCAGCACTTTCCCTCAAAAAAGATCTGACACATACAGACCTAAAAGACCTGCAGAAAGTACCTGGAGAGGAAATCGTTCTGCCCTTTCTGAGTCCTGTGGAGTGGATGGAGCCAATAAAGGGGAAGGAAAGGGCAGTCTGCACCAACAGCCAAGTGCAACAGCACTGAATTAACAAACCAATATTCTCGTTTTCTGCTCCAGCAGTAGATACACGGAGATACAGAGAGCTTTTCTCACTGGAGGGAATTCAATAGAAATAATTTACTCAGTATAATGACCCATTCTGTTTAGTAGCCTGAGAAACAGGGACAGAGATAATTCTTTTCATATATAAAACTTCCTCTCTTTAAACTGGCTGCTGAAATCACTTGAGGGCAGGAAGCGAGCTAATGCCAGCAAGTACAAAAAAAATATGAATTAAAATAACTAAGAATTACGTAGGTATGCTTTTTTTTTTTTTTACCCCGCCTTTATACAAAGCTAGGGACTGAAGTCATACAGCCCACAGAAACAGAGAAATTCTGTGTTAAGTGGCATATTTTATAGAGTCTTTTTGTGAAGAAGTAATAATGAGTCAGAGTCATATAAATAGCAAAAGCACTTTTGGCTGTGGTGAGCTCTCCAGTTGTCAACCGCTACAGAAGAGTGAGCACAGACAGCCAGGGACCAGCATCACTGACCAACTGCACTGACCACATATACATACACACACACATGCACTGCTGTCATAAATTATGCCTCTATTTCTTGGCAAGACCCTTTTATGACCATGGCATTTATATGCTCCATGTAACATGTAAGCCCCTATTATTCCCTTTAATATGGTTAGCTGAAGACTCAGTTTAAGACCCATAAATAGAGCGAACACGACTGCTTGCGTCAGCCATAATTTGGACAGGAGCAAAACTGAAGGAGAACAGAATATATTACATTCAGCTTCCAAGTTTTTCTTTTGCACTAATGCAATTTTTCTTCCTCTAAACAATCTTTCTAATCACTATGTTGGCGCATACTCTATATGAAACTGTGCATAAAGCCACTAATTGGGGCATCTCAATTTGCAGCCATAGGCACAAGAATGTATGCCGTTTATACTTCAATCCCTGCCGCACTTTGCAAATACATGCATGCTCCAACCGCATCAAACGTTTTGAGATGTTTTCATGCTTTCCATTTTTAGGTTATTAGAGGCATATGCAATCTATTTTATTCTGGGTTTGGGCAATTGGAATAAGAGCTTAACTGGGATATGCTTCTGAGAAATAAGACGTTTATGCAAGCGGTGTCAGAACCAGAATGCTATTTACGTAAGATTGGAATGTGCATGAAAATGTGGTCATTTTCCCTGCCCTTACAGCAGAGTATAGCAGAGTGAACATGAAGGCTCTGCTCTCAGCTCTGCTGAACTACAACTCCATACACTCCAGCGTGTATATAGCTGCAGACAGCAGGCAGAGCATCAGCCACAGCTCTGGGGACAATGGGGAGCTTATAATAACACCATCGGATTTTACAGTTCAAAGTCTTATTATCCAGTACTCCAAATCCAAAAGTGAGCTGGTCTCTCTGGCTGTCTGCTCCAGGGCTGCAGACATGCTAGCCATTGAAGGCTGCAAAGAGAGAAAAGAAGAGAAGAGAAGAGAAGAGAAGAGAAGAGAAGAGAAGAGGAAGAAATGAGTAGCAAAAAGAACAGAAAGAGAATCCAAGAAAAGGGCATAACAGAAGAGAAGAGAAGAGAAGAGAAGAGAAGAGAAGCAGGCAAAAAGGAAAGAACAGAACAGATGAGCAGAAAAAAGAAAGACAAGAAGAGCCAAGAGAAGAGAAGAGAAGAGAAGAAAAGAGAAGAGAAGAGAAGAGAAATGATCCAGAGGATGAAATGAATTGTGGGAACCACAAGACTCCATGTGATAACATGTTTCCCAGTGGTCACCGTCAGCAAACAGTGACCCCTGCTGACTCATCTCTCAACACTGTTAATTCCCTCAGACGGTGCTCAGAGAGCACACAAGTGCCAACGATCAGAGGTCAAAGGTTACCTAGGTTGACGGTGAGTTTAACTCTTCCCCCGTCAAGCTCCAGGCGCAGGGTGTCTGCGGACTCTGAGGAGGTGGTGGCCATGAGTAGGCCATAGGCCCTCTGGGACATGAAACGCAATGAGACGTCCTCCGCCTCCGTGTGCATGGCGCGAGGCATCAGCACCTTCAGGAACATGCTGCCATCATAGCTCAGCACCGTGGACTCTAAAAGCAGCAAAGGAGAAGAGAGAGGTCAACAAAGCCTGCCTTGTTTTATTGTTATTTAACTGACCTACCCATGCTCTGCCACGGTTTGTTTTCCTTTGATTTACCTTGTTGTCCAGTAATTTGGAGACAGTGTCTTAAACAGAAGCAGACGCAGGAGTAAACACAGTGACAGCAAGTGAGTTGAAGCTTGGCCTTTGTCAAATAAAAGAACATAATAAAAGTGCTGTTCAGGTGTGTTTTGTAGTGTGAAGTTGTGGTTGTGGTATGAAGACATCTTTAATTTGGCCACAAAACTATAATCATTCCAGTAACCAAGAACAGAACTGTGAATGTAACACGAATATTACTGTCCTGTGGCCTCTTAGCCTCATGCCTTCTTCTCCAAAGCAATTTTGCCTGAGGTTGTTCAAGGCTCATTTCAGCTGATGTACGAGTCATGTGTTTTTCCTGATGTGTGGAACCCTGACGCTGGGGTTTGAGGATGCCCTAAAACAGGTGTGCCCAATCCTGGTCCTGGAGATCTACAGCCCTGCACAGCTTAGTTACACCTCTAATCAAACACATATGATTCTGTTAATGAAGGCCTTTAGGAGCATCTAAATATCAGAGCCAGGTGTGTTGGATTTTAACTCTTCAGGGTGGTAGATCTCCATGACCAGGATTGAGCACCCATGCCCTAAAATATGGTTGGCTGTTACCACGGTAACTTGGTTAACCGTCACCAGACACAGGCCTATTTTGACAAAAAACTATGTTACGCCTTACAATTCCTCATTAGGTAGAACTTGATTTTTGCCAACACCAGGGTTGTTTCTAGACTGCTGGTTGTACTGGGGCACACTCTACATTAAGCTGGGCACAGCCCAACCTATTTGGTGGTCAGTCACAGAGGCTGAACAGTCCACATCAAAAACAGAAAGTTGTAAAGATGCTGGAGGACTGTGGGAAATGTAGTGTGTCTGCAGCAAATTTTCACATTTGTTTTGTATTGTTCAGCCCAAATCAAGGTTAAAACCAGAAACTTTACAGCTTACATATTAACTTCTTTCCCATGGTTACCGTTGGGCATGTCAACAGTTTACTGGGGCATGATACCCCTGGCCAACAATCTGCAAAGCTTGCCCAACCTCGCAGTTGCTACAAAAAAATACATTTGTGGGTGGGCCATGGATAGCCAAATGGATGTAGGGATTTAAATGATATTTATGTGCTAGCAACTAATCTGTTGCAATCTGCTGTAATCTATAGCTAATTCTATCTTTATATTAGCATAGCATTGTGTGGTATCCCTTTTTTTAATACCATCAAACCGTCTCCAAATACCGCAGTGTAAGGTATTACCAGGGGGAGGGGGTGTCTTAAGTGATGTAAAAGAATGACGTTTCTAGTCTCGTCATACATTTTTTTAAATCTAAAAAAAAAATTTTAAAGTTCACTTACATGATCACCAGCAGGTGAACAAGTGCAAGATTTTCAATGCACCATTTAATAAATGTCAAAGCAAAATCTATCTAACAATTAATAAATGCTAAACAGTGCTGCAAACTACGAGAGTGGAGCTGGTTAGCACTGGCTATTAGCATAGTTAGCATGATAACCACTCTGAACACAACCAAACGTGAGTTAGCGCTAAACTAAACCGGTATGTTTTCCTTTGCGTTATCTGTCGTCTAGTAATTTAGAGGAATTTAGAAGATAATGAATCAGTTCTGAGGGAGTCAAGCAGCTGGCACTGAAGGGACAGAAAGGTGAAATTAAACCTGTTTTTGGAGTCTGGATCTGCAGCTTGATCAGCTAACTTAATGTTACCTTAGTGAACAGATTAAAGACCCAAACAGTGCAATCACAACCATACAGCTTTGATTCTGACTAACTTGTGATCTGCTGACACAAGTTTAGATGATATAAACTAATGTCGGAGAAAGCAAATGAGCACAAGTGACATTAAACTGAAATCGAGCCTGTTCTGTGGTGTGTGCGACTGTAGCGTTTTAGTTAACAGGTCAAACATACCACACAGAACTAGGGTGATCAGACATCATTTTTGGTGGTCTGTCCCTGGCTGGAGCTGTCACTGCAAATGTCCCTGTTTTTAACTGTGAATTAAAAACACACCAGAAAGTCTTAAAAAAAAAACCTGGCAGACAGACAGACGTCTCACATTGTGCTTGGTTTGGCCAACAGAGGCTGCTGGCTGCTGCTGGTGCCTACTAACCACTTCTACTACTTACTTGCCTAGTTTTAGAGAATACTGCTGTGTTAAACGTTATTCGCACTACCAGGTGATAAGTAGGATCTGATTTGTATAGGCATACAATCTACTTGAATGCAGGCTACCTTGCAATCTACAAATAGTGCATCAGATTTTTAAACAGCATCACTTTTTCAGCCATCCATATACAACATATGGCATATGCTGATAGCAGCTGTCTGTCTCTCCAGAACTGAATCTGGCTCAGGGGTTTGTTTGGGGTCTGGCTATTGGACTATAGCCTGGGTCTCTTTTTTACAGCCAAAATATTTAATATGAATATGAATTATGGTCTCATATAACCACTGAATCGCTTGCGGTAAACATATCCCTGCCTAAGTCACTAGAGTTAGTGCTTTTGAGAGCCTTTCAACTAGTGACTATTTCTAAAAAGTGATGAGCGACAAATCTCATGGGGAGAAAGCAAGAAATATAAATGTTTTCTAGGACTACTGTAATTTATTCCCATGCTTACTGACCATTTTCTTTTTTGAGTGTTCATAGCTTTACTCAACATGGTAGGCTACCGTATGACTTTCTGACATGGTTTACAAAGTTAGTTAGTAAGTAATTTTATCAGTCAGCATTCACCATAGTCTTGGATTTTGCAGACGCTTGTAGGTCTAGCCCTAGGTGGCCAATCAACTCCATTGGCAGTTCAATTAACTACAAAATACAAAAGTTTACAAAACATAGGACTGGAAACTGGAGACAAGGTACAGATTTGAAGATCTCCATAGTTTATAACAGAACAACAGTTACCATGGTCAAAATACATGAAACTAGAACTGTCTCCCCCTTTTAATTTCACGGATAAAAACACTGGATATTTTAATGATGTATTGACCGCCGAACTGAAAATGTTCTCGGTTTTCATTTCAGAAATCTGGTCACCTTACACAGCACATGCTTGGTTCCAGCTAACAGATGCTAAAATGACACCCGATTAGAGGATATCTGATAGCGTAAAGTTGAGTGACTGAGTAAAAGCTCGAAATCGAATGTGTTCTGGTCCTGCAAGGTCCAAACTTTCGAAATCATTATTTGTAAGGTGTACACACCAGCGCCAGCACTCAATGACTCCATGTATTCTTCGATTTCTCAGCGCATCACAGCATGCCACTCAGCATTTTGTCATTAATACATTAAATAAACAGGCCCTGGCCATATAAGGGGTTAATGATGGTGAACTGAAATAAAACTGTTTATATTATGCTTCTGTCTTTTATGTCTGTGTATTGTGCATGTATATTGTGTGTATATATTCAACTGAATGTTATCTGTAGATATCACAAGTACTCAAGCCCAGCAATCATTAACAATAATTAGACACAAACAAAAGAAATCTCCCATATGTAATGAACTGTCCATCCACCTTGCGTGTGAAGCTGAAGTAACCAGCAACTGAAAAGTTTTGTTTCTCCAGAAGCCCTTCAACATAGGACGGAAGACAGTCGATGATGATAACTAAATAATGAATACTGTGTTTAGATTTCATATCACACACCATATGCACTGCTGTAACTTTCACCAGCAAATAAAAATAAATAAATAAAAAAATTGCACTGATGACAGAAATGAGCTCAAACCCATGGTAGGCGTCATGTGATCGCAGTGATACGGTTATCATCACAGCCCTATATTAGCACAATGAACACAATTGGGAGGCAAATGTTGCAAGACAGATTCAATGTCACAACAACCACACAAACACACAAACATACACACACACACACATACACACACAATTAAATTCAATAAATTATCCAAAGACAATGCTGTCATTGCCACAGAAACACCACTGACTGAGGTAAGGCAACCAATTAGAGTTTACGAGCTCCTTCAAGGAGCTTTAAAACGGCATCAAATGATTAGAAAATTTGACTCTTCTGAGAAATGAAAATGCTTGTCAATAGTAATCTTAACAAGAATTAGGTTAGTCAGATCCTTTTTATAGCACATTTCTACTCAAAACCACATAATCCCCCAGTATAACAGCATTAAAACTAGCCACTTATTTGAAGCACCAATGTTCTGAGCAAGCTATCGTCTTGTTCCAGTCACTGCGACCAGAATAAGATGATAGCTTTCTCATATGATAATAGTGGACTTCATAGAGTCAAACTAAGATTCCACCAAAAGACACAAGAGGGCAGAAGTGAGTTAGAAATGTATCAGCACGAAAACAAATAAATAAATAAAACAAACAAAGGGATCTCTGAATTTGAGTCACTGTGAATAGGATTCTGTTACTGTGAGCCACTGTGATTCACAAACACGCCACAACAGCAGAGCAGCGTGGCATAACTCATTTCTGCCCAGATCAGAGACAGCAGGGTTTATGATGCCCCAAATCTCTGTCCCTCCCCTCCAGTGGTCCGCACAATATGTTTACAATGAACACAGCCTCAGCCTTGTCCCTGTCTGAGGCGCCAAGAGCGTTTTTCCTTAATTGTCTTTAACAGCCTATAATGTATTAATTTAATCTGACACTGCATTTTAAAGGTTTGTTGTAGTCTGTCACAAGTATTTGTCAGATGTTTTGAGTCAATCTTTAAACACAGCATTTATATGAGCTTACACTGCTAATTTTTATAAGCCTATATTGTTGATTTTTATATGGTACAGATAAAAGAGTTATAGTGCAAAATAAAGCTCCATTGTTGCTGGCACATTTACTTTACACTCCTAAAAAAGATGGTTCCTCAAAGGTTCTTTAGTAAAGAAATGGTTCTATAAAGATCCATGAACACTCCAAGAACCCTTTGCATGATTAAATGGTTCTTTAGAATGTGCTGTTGATGGTTCTACATAGAACCTTTTTAAAAAATCCTTTTGGGTGCTATATAGAACCCTTTTCAAAAAGAACCATCTATAGCACATTCTGAAGAACACTTTCATGATGTAAAGAACCCTTTAATCATGCAAAGGTTTCCTTGAGCGTTCATGGTTCTTTATAGAACCATTTTATTTACTAAAGAATCCTAAAAAGAACCATCTTTTTAAAGAGTGTACCAGTTATATTTACTACAACTCAGAGGCTCTCAAACCAGTTATCAGAGCCCCACAATGGTCCACATTTTTGCTCTCTCTCTATGTGTTAGGGCTTGTGATCAAGCAAAAATGTGGCGATCTGGAGAGTAGATTGAGAACCACTGCTATTACTAACTAGGCTAACTAAGGCTGAGCTAACTTTTGTCCAGCTAATGCTAAAGCTTCAGCCTCAAGGCTTTCAAGGACACCATACAGTCGTATGAAAACGTTTCCATAGGTTTGGACTCCCCTGGTCAATTTATATGACATAAAATGTAGCCTTTGCAAAAGTTATGTTTCATTTTTTTCGCCCAAGCCTGTGCCCCTGCCCCTTTCAACTCAGAAGTGTTTTTCTAAAGGGCCTTTGTAAAACATATCCCTGGAATGCAGGCAGTTTGGCTGTGCCAAAATTTACAAAAGGGATTTAAAAACACCTGATCACACAGTGTGCACACTGTTTCTCATGCTCATCTTCTTCCCTGACTCTTTCAGTTTACATAGTAAGACAGCACCAGTGGATCTGGCCAGCTTCAAATTTCACAGCACGCAAGACTGTAAGGTACATCACACTTATTTGTTATACACGGCAATAAAGTGTGTCATTAAGACACATCTTTCATTGCATTATAAAAGCAATGAAGTTTGATACTTATACAAAGATGGCTTGCGTTGAGAGTCTAAATTTATGGAATTGTATTCAGTAACTCAATAACACTCAATTTTTTAAGTGTTATACCCAAGTTTGGCTACAATGTTGCTTGCTAGCTAACTGCTATCATTATACACAAAGAATGAAACAGTCAAAAAATGGTTAATTAAAAGAATGTGAATAATATATGATCACTGCAATTATTTAATAAAACATTTATTACGTTTAGGTCTGTTTTTGATTCTTGTAAGACTTGAACTATTATTATTTTTTTTTTTACAAAACATTTTATTAATAAAATACAAAATCTTTTCATTTAAATTTCCACCAACATGATGCGCATATGTTGCAGCAATAAAATGCTCACTTGCACATACTTGCAGACCACTGCTCTCCCTTAACCCAAAACCCCGCCTGCCTATTTGCTCACCAGTTTCGCAGTTGGGCCCCAGGTAGCCGGTGCCGGAGCAGTCGCAGATGTGGCGATTCCAGCCCTCTCTGCAGTGGCCTCCGTGTGCACAGGGCTCAGCGCTGCAGCGCCGGTGGGTTTCGCGTGTGCAGAAGCTGCTGACCCCTGCTGCGCTCTGTAGTTCTGCCAGCCGCCGCAGGTCCCTACTGCGGCCATCCACAAACAGATCCCTCACACAGCCCACAAAGCCCAGTCGCAGTGGTGCCGTCCACACCTCAGGCAGCAGAAGCAGTCCATCATGGTCTTCAGGCAAACCCCCCAGATACATCTCCCCATCCAGATCCAGGACTTCACTGCCCTCGTTGGAGGAGAAGGGCATACTGCGACCATTCACTGAGATGGAGCCTGCAGGAAGGAAAAGAGTTAGGGGTTAAATCAGGATATAGGATATGGGGAGGTCTACTTCTTTCATGGGTGCCAACAATGTTAGAAATTATCACTCAGCTTAAACATTATTTAATGGTGTTATTGGCATTAATATCAGGGAAATATGATTAATACTATATTACCACTCAAAGGTTTAGGATCACTGTTCAAAAGTTTGTTATTAGATATACAGTATATTACAGTATATGATCTCTCATTTAATATCAGTGTATAATATACAGTTATTTTTTATTCTGCATTTTAAAGTTATTATTATATATAAAATAATAAAAAATTATTAGCAAAATATTTATTGACACATGATTCCAAACAGTAGAGTAGATGTCAATATATCAAGTAAAATCTACTTCTTGCAAGGCACAAGTCTAAAGCATAATGTAATTCCATATTTTTTCTCACTCATAACTCATTTAAACAAGGGGAGAAATTCTGTCAGAAGTGCAGATTCCAAGCTTTTATCAATCAATACTACATATGTAAGGTATTTTACTATGATTTGCCTTTGATGAAAAGTTCTTGTTTTATGTGCAGTCTTGCATAAAAATCCAGCCATTTCACGTTTCCCACAATCGTGGTATTTCTTGCCATCAAAGCAGACAGAAAAAAGTCAAACCTGTCAATATAAAATGTAAAGTGAATGTAAATGTAATTAATTGTGTAGCTCGCTATGTAACTGAGTCTGTAATTATTTAAGTATGTTTGAATTATATAACAAAACAAAAGAAATAACTCTCACCTTATAAGGGCAAATAAAAATCTGAGATAGAAGAAACAGGCTTACTGTTTGAAGATACTTGATTTAGTTACTTCAGTGGTGTCAATTTTACCTAGCTATGCAAGCTAGGCTAGCTACTCGCAGGATACAATCAGATGTAAGCTTACAGCAGAAAAACAGTGACAGCAATTTTCGACGCTATTTAAAGGTTGAGCAGAGGTGGCTGATATTGGAAAAAATATACTGTCATGATACTTCAGGTAGTTTTTTATGACACACTATACTTATTATATTATATTATCACAATATTTATTTTTTCTGACTTCTGGAAGTCAGAACAAAGTAGTGCCACATTTTAAAAATACTGTGAAACTATAAATACAATGATTTGTATTTAACATTCCATACTGTGCTGCGCTAAATCCAATTAAATAGGACTAATAATGCTGCCTCTATAACAAATGATGCAGTTGGGAAGTGATTTTTAAGTACTTACGATATCCACAATTTGCTCAAATAGGCATATTGTGACATATTGTGATGTAATTTATCATGATAACAATAAATACTGTTGATGACTGCAACGTTATAAGGAGGCAGTGAGGGATAAGGAGGATGGTGGGGTGTAGCTGTCAATGAGATGTCTACCTTTCTAGTGTGGTTTATTACAATGAATAGCTTAATAGATCTCACAAAGTTTTAGAAATAATTTACATTTCCATACAATTATAGAACCAAAACTCAACTCTGCTTGTTATTCACATAACCCAAAGGTATGCTGAAGCCCACTTAACCCCTGGAGGCAGCGAATGGGGAACAGAGAGGAAATGCATGGCCCATGCAGCGCTAAAGTTGCCTTTAAATAATAATGAGAAGTGGTAAGTAACACAAGCATAATAACCTGGAGCTGCTGGGGTTTAAACCTCATGCTGAAGGGCACAAAGGTTGTGTTCATAAATAAAGTAGGGGCATCAGTAGCTGTAGCCCTCCAGCATTACAGCAGCATCACTTAGTGGACCCATAGGGGTTTGAACCAGAGACCCTCGACTCTGGTGTGGCATCTGAGCCTTACCCCCGAGCCTCTGCTGCCCACTGTATAAGCTCAGATTGACAAAGACAACAGATTCATATGGCTAGGGTAAAAAAAGTAAAGTGATCCGCACTGATTGCCGGCTCTTTTGTGGGTTTGTAATCCCTTACGTCGTACATCTGAGGCAGCAGACCTTGCTGGAGGAGGAGAGGCTTTAGTAGTGGATGGATTAGCAGAGAATAAAAGTCCCTGAGCTTCACTAGTGGAGAGCAAGTCCCAGAGATATGCTAATGGCTGCAGATAGAGCTCATAAGGACACTACCAGCCTCCAGTAGCTCATCACTGGGCTTGGGCGATTTGACGACATGAAATTATTATCACAACCAGTTATGGCAACTCTGGCATGTAATTACATGTGCATGTTTAACGATTCAAAAGAGGCCCTCCACTAGTACGGCTAAGATAAAGTTGACGGATATCAGAGCAAAAAACAACCAAGTACAAGCATGAGAATTTGAGAGGTCACAGGAAGCAGCCATTGGAAGCAGGAATGCAGAAAGTGGTTGAGCCGAGAGGGCTGCAGCATTCCCAGAGCTCAGGACTGTTTAACTCCAACTGGTAAAAATAATTTAAAATGATAATTCGAGCATAAAGAAATACAAACATATGCAAACCTTTGGGTGCCTGGTTAAATTACATGTTTTGTTGATTTTTTAACTGAAAATAAGTTAACACATCCTCTACAGAGAACACACTTTTTAATAAATTGCACATTTTAGTTCACATACTGTTTATTTGCGCTGTTTGAAATCGAAGACTCAAAACACGCTCTTCATCCCTGATTGAAGTGGTTAGTTTTCGCACTGTGGAGAGTCTCGTTCAAAAATATGTTCAACTTGTTTGACTCTCACTGAGTACTGCAGGAAATTATTCAGCTCCACCGTGTGACCTAATTATAAAATATAGATTTCGAAAGGAACCAAATTTGGACTACAGAACACAATTTTTTTGTTTTGTTTTTTGAATATGAAAAATAACATTGTCTACAGGAAAAATTTAAATCGCAGGTAAAATACCAAAAAATGCTTGTACGATACTGAACCCAAGTGTTATATAAAACACCTACACTGTAACAAGTGGCTCGTCAGATCTACCTAAAATAATTACTTCATTTGGTAACAAGCAATTGAACTAGTTTTATTCAACTTAAAAACTACACTGATTGAAAGAATCGTTCAAAGTATTTATTTAGGTTGAATAAAACTGGTTAATTTACTTGTTACCACATGAAGTGATTTTTGTGAGGAGCCACTTTTTTACAGTTTTAATAAAAGCCGTGGGAGGGAACTGTGACATTAAGTCAAGTGACTATTGAGATTAGGATCCCATACTTAACATTCAAAAATGCTGATAAAGTACACATTCACCAGTTGCATAGGGCCAACATGGTACAAACATAAGCCTTCCACAAGACCAACATTAACCTCAATCATGGTTGGGACTTTACCTAACAGTGAAACAACCCTGCTTAACTTTAAGCAGTTCTATTCCTGGCTCAGACAGTGGTCTCTCCTACCTTTACGGCCCTCTCTCTGGAAGTCCACATGGCACCACTCGCCATCGTTCACCTTCTTGCTGCTGGCCTTCATCTTGACGCTGCCGGAGCCCATGTCCATGAGCAGGTACAGAAAGCCTTCCAGCAGTTCCATGGCAAAGAAGTCCACCCTGGGCCGGCGTTCTCGGGGCCCCTGCACTCGTCCATGGCTGTACAGCAGCAGACCACTGGGCTCTGTGGTGCGGAAATCAAAGGAGACAGAGCCGGTCTTCTTGGCATTCCAGCGAGGAAGTGTGACATAGGCGGCTGGCGTGTCAAAGCTGACTGGGTCCAGTGCGGCCACATCCTCGCAGCGGAAGGTCAGATCGCCATGCAGGGTGACCTTGGGGTCATGCAACTCGGCCAGATGGGAGAGCTCTAGCCTGAACTCGTTATTGGTGTACACCACCTGGGAGAAAAAGGGAGAGAGATGGGAGTAAGGAGATATAGAAAGAGCATAGTGTGAGAGAGACAGCCCTATTTTCAGTCTGCAGGCTTCTACGCTGACAGGGTGTGGAAATGGAGTAGCATGCTGCCCAGTGGTAGAGACAAATTGCAGCTGATATGTGCCTGGGGGGCACGCTTCTGCACTCAGTAAATACTCAGTTCCCCCTTAAATACCTGCACGCATGAGTGAATTACATAAACATAGCAGTCAGATCCAGTGAAGAATAGGAGCCAAATTTTTTTCTCCTGGTCAATCAATACTGTTTTATTATCACAGATTGCTGTATGGTTTCTTCAGTGAAGGCAATGAATATAAAGAAGCTAGCTTCACCTTCCTGAGCTGGGCTTGTCTCCAAAATGTGTGTCACAGCATCATATGGCTGATCTAGAATCAGGCTTCTCCTTGCTTATACAGATTTTGGACACTGAACAATTAGTCCCAATCTCAGAAGCTCTGCCGACAGTGGTATATGCACTGTAATGTATGCCATTTTTGCTCATTTTGCCCGTTACACTCTTTACACTGCCCTGTGTAAGCACGTCTGTGCACCTTTTTAAAAAGCAGTTCCATTTCTTTAATCTGGAAGAAAGCTAAATGCTAGCTCTTCAAATGGTAGAATTCCAGTATTTTCATATATACACATTTCCTAAGCAGTTTAAACTGTTTCTTCTTATCCAACCAAGCCATGTGTATACAAAGAATGGATTTGATTTGACTGAAGTTTTTTCAGAAAGGTGCACTGTTAGTGACATGTTTTTACACTAGGCAGCACTGCAGCACAGTAACTGAGAAGATTAGGTTCTATGGCTGGACTCACATCTATCTATCTTATGCTTTGTTTACATGTTGGCATCGAAAAAAAAAATGGTGTTCTCATAGTGGTACGTGACCAGTGGTGCTATGCAGCCACACAAACACTGCCATTGTCACAGCATACAGATAAAAATGGATCATTATCAGAGGTGAGCTAGGTGTTGATTGCCTATTTAAGGTGAAAAAAGCAGTAGGACATTCTGCACCAGACCTGCCAAGCTTGGAAAAATATTTAGCACAGCACAATAGCGTAACGCTTAAAAAAAAACTACAACAAAAAAAAAAAATACTTCGCTTGGCACAAGGTCATTACCCCACTTGCCATCATATCATCAAGTCTGGTCATTCAGTAGGATCTGCTGCTCTCTGTCTCCCCCTATCAGTGTCCTCCTCATCTGATGTCATGTTTATTTTAACTGTAAGGCACACATACACACACACACCTCCCAGTCTAGGTAATGTTATTTCTGCGGCACGTGCACTTTTTTCATCCTGACATAATCTGCTCATTATGATTATGGGTTTGGCAGCAATAAACATTATGAATGCAGTACTGTGGAAAGTCATACTTATCAATGAGTGAGGAGGGCAAACAAGAGGGATCAAAAACATTTCATGTTGCTATTGATTTGCAGTCTCTTGAGATGACTGACATTACGCATTGGTCATGGGGACAAATGCTAAACGCTGCTGGCTCTTGTTAGATCTGAGTACTCCACATGTACAATTGAACTCAGAGGCATCAACTGCTTTTTGTGTAGTTTAGAGTGACAAATCATATAATTTTACTTTTAATGAAAATGTGTACCTGCTACACAAAATGCACAAAGATTGGCAAGTCTGCTGTACTCTTAATTTTTGTTGTATAATACTGCATGCACTTGAATCAAACATTAAGATGTTCTCTGTGCCATGACTCATCAACATCTGGTTTATTGGAGAAAGGGGACAAAATGTTCCGGGACCACAGCTGTACGCTGCTGTTGCCACTGGCGGTGGCAGAAGTTTTCGTCACCGCTCCACTGAAAACAGTGGAATACCCGGTTTGTTGTTGACCATCTACAGTCACAATGTAAACACAGCATTTGATTGCATTGCGAGCATAGCTAGCCATCCACTAAAATCAAGAGACTGACTGAGTGTCCACGAAATACAAGGCTGGGGTGGCAACTCTACTCTGCACACTGTGACAACAATGAGTCTTTTGGAGTAAGATAAGCATTGTGAAGTTTCTGGCATCTGGTCTGGTTCTGTGTCTGCTGACAGACAAGCCATTTTTTTGCTTTGTTGCTCCTACACATTACGCAACAACAGTGGACTGTGGTTGGTCATTTTGCATGTCAGTTATATTGCACCTTTCTGTCAAAGTAGGGATTTCTTGGCCCCACGAGACAACAGAAGCCACCACATCCTCTGATGATAGTCAGAAGTCTGGCTTGAGACCACTAAAAGATACACACCAAGCTATCACAGAAACAGCCCTCCTATACTGAGCTGCATCCTAGAAGAGATCTCAGTGTGGACTTTTCTATGGCCAGGTGGGAGAATGGACCCTGGCGAGAAATAACATGCTTTTCATTTTCACACCAGACGCAGATGATGACTGACGCTTTGTTGCAGGGTGTGAACTTGAGTGTCTCTGAAAATAACACCAGCCAGCTACATTGCCTGTCAGTGCCCATGACAGAAGAATAAAAGCAGAGGTAGGAGCCAAATAAGAGGTGCCAGCGTGGGGAGAGTGGGAACACGAGAAAATGCAATTACTAGCGGAGGCTTCAGAGAGGTTCGGCACTGTCTTAAAAGGCATGTTAGAACTGCCAACCCCCCAAACTTGCACGAGCTAAACCAATCGCCCAAACTTTGAGATGTGAGCATACAGCCAAGACAAAGACATTTAAACACATTGTTAATAGCATCTCCTACCAAACTGTGAGCTATTTACAAAGACTTCATTAGCGCTAGGAAGCAGAATGCTCCAGTGTTTTTCAAAGTAATCTCTATCTGCCGTATCTGTAACTGTATTAGGGACAATCATTTCCCTGTACTTAAGAACAGAAAACTCATTGACTTAGAATAGAAGCTGAAAGGCATCTATATGACACTGCCAGAGTATTCCTTTAAGTTGTATCTAAAGCTAAGTTGCCCTGCAGTGTTAATATAGATGTATGAACGTCTCCATCAGCACTGCAGCATTGCTCGTGGGGGCCGAGGAGAAGCAGGGCTCTAACTTGGAGTGTATGGTTGAGCGGTTAGAACGAAGGGGTGATTAATACAGCCCAGGGTCAACGAGACAGAGACGGAAAGCTCGGGCCAGTCGAACGGGGATCTAAAGAGGAAATCAATTTTTAATTTGGCTGTCAGGAAAGTAAAGCTGAAACTTCAATGGTATAGACATGACATAAATAACGGACACGCTCGGGAGCGAGTGAATAGCACTCGGAAACGAGGGAAAGGGGAAAAAGGACAGATAAAGGAAGAGGCAAGTGAGGACGAATGGGAGGTGAAATACTAAGCTTATCAGTGTAAGCTTGTTGAGCATTATCCTTCATGTCCCGGAGTTCAGACACTTTCCAAATCGCGGCCTTTCCCCCCCTCATATGCTTCCTCCACCTGCTTGCTCGTTAATGAGGTCTAGGCTAGTTGGCTGAGTTTCAGGGCCAAAGATAAAAGAGGAGAAAACTGCTTAAACCAGGTTGGAGACATGAAGCCTGATTTAGCCAGGCATTTAGCATATGTTAAAGCTGTTTAAGCACGTCATCACATTATTCCAATCATTTAGGTTGTAGAATGCTAACTGACATATCCACGGTGCACCGACAAATACATTCGTTGGTAGCTCATGTTGATCGCTTGGATAAGCTTCACGGAGCGATTACAAAAATCCCATTTAATGAGAAACTGTAGTGCACAGCAAGTTTTTTGTCAAATATCTACATTTAGAGCGCATTCATTTTAAATTATTATTGTGTATAATGCGTCTGATTTGGCCGTGTGAAATATAGGACGGATTGGGGGAGTTTTTTTTTTCTTTCTATGTAATCGAAATAACATCAGCGTAGCAGCAAGTGTTCTTCTTTTACAATCATTTTCAACCTGCCTTCTTTCAATTAGCTATAACATAATCCAGCTCGCTACTGTAACATTTTAAAGGGGAATTCTAATGATTTATCTAAAATGACTTTGTAAACAAAATAATTCAAAATTTGATGTGAAATGCTCTGATCTAGAAAAACGTGCAGAGTCGGAATTGTTCACAGCGGTGGGGATGAGAACCAGACATCCAAAGTGTTTAATGCCTCTAAAACAGGGGTGTCAATATCAACCAATAAAAGGGTCCAAATTAAAAAATCTCAACCAATCCGTAGCCATCTATGTTTTTATTTCATTTTAACTAACAGTTTGGTAAGACCTGAACTGGCCATTGTTTATTCAAAATATACCAAAACTGTGACAGCAATACTTGTATCAGACCTTGAAATCTTGCATGAATACTTGAACTATTCAAAAATAATTTTAAGTAAAAACAAATTGTCTTATATAAAAAATAGGATAAATTAGCTGTAGATAACCCTTAAAAATTCCCTTAAATGTCCCCACGAGGTAAGTTTTTTAAAACTGCCTATTTGCTTGAAATAGCAATCTGTCTTTTTGTGGTGTAACCACTGTCCCATAGATAGTTGTTGGGGGAGGGGTGTCAGAACGCACGTAGGAGCAGTGGATGCTGGGGATTGTAGTTCAGCTCATGGTGAAATGGACTAATATTAGTAGAAAATTAAAATCATCTCACAGGCTGGTGAGGATTGTGCCACAGGCTTGACTTGGCCTGCTGGCCTTGTGTTTGACACATGGGCTCTAAAAGTTCCCTCAGAACGTTTTTACATAAAATGGTTATGCAAATGCAGCCTGAGATACTGTTTTAAAATAGTTTTGAAAAGGTTTTTTCCTAAATATGTTTTGAATACATTAACAGCGGAGAGAGATCACTACAAGGCAAAATAGTCACCAAAGAAAACAAATTTTACTATTATCATCTTTACATTTAAAAACCTGGAAGACATGTGAAGGTTCACTGGTCATTTTGGTTGGTCAATAAAATGGCTATATTTGCACTTTAGACTTCACAACCCCTGGTTCCTATCACCACCACTGCAATCAACCCTGAATGGGCAAGTTTCTCTGCAATGCACCGTGTCACATCAAACCACTCAATGATTTTCTTCATGCCTCAACAAAAATCTGTGAAATTCTTCTTTTCCTGGAAATACCAGACTGTGTGGGGACCACTGCACACCAAGCACACCACAGTATTGTTACTGACAACAACTGAGTTGTGCGCTACAGTTTCTGTACAACATTCTGCAAAACGTATTCAACCTTGCAACAGCTGCAAAGAACAAACGCATTTGTGGGTGGAGCATGGACAGGCAGCAGGCTTGCTTACTGATTTGGAGCCAGTACTCACATCTTTGAGGCAGCCCATGAAGTTGTTGCTGACTGGGGAGCCGGGCAGGTCAGCAGTGTTTGGACTGCCACCCACATAGAAGAAATCATCTGAACCCAGCATGGTGTAGTCCTCTTGAGTGTAGCCTGTGGTGGTCAGCAAACCGTCCACGGATATTGTGACCTAAGCGTGCGTCAAAGGACGGGGAGGAGGAAGGAGAGACGAAGAGAGAGAGAGATAGATAGAGCGAGAGAGAGAGAGAGAGGAACAAGAAGAGACAAAAAAGTCTTTCGATTAAGTAACAACCAAATCTGCTTCTTGTCTCCATAAAAAAAGAAAAGAAATTGAACTCATAACTCTCTTTTCCTGCGTCCCTCTTGTTTTGTTTCATGTGCGTTCTTTGATAAAGGGCAACCCATTTTTATGTCTGCTGTTGCTGCTTTTTTTTTTGCATGAAAGTAGGCTCTTGCGTGTATGCTAGTTAGCATCTACAAGTTAGAGTGCAAGAGAAGAAAGAGGCAAGTGGAGAAGGGTGTAAAGACCACTACATGTTGAGTGAGTTAGCAAGTGATGTAAAGGTGACTATATTAGTATAAAGGGGGAACCAGACACAAAAATGGTTGTTAGTACAACAGAAGTCGTATCTTTGTGTTAGCACTGCTCAATTCAGACAAATTTAACAGTTTTAGCTGCAGAAAGTCTGGCAGGAATGTCTTAAAAGAGATACTTTCTGGTCATGATAGGCTTCAGTGAGGTCAATATAAAAGCCATGCATGGTGGGTAAGACACTGTGGACGGCAGTTTCAGGACAGCTGGGAATAAAATACATATGGTAGCACATTCAGTACTGAGAGTGGTTTAATGAAGGAACGGGGAAAACAACTTTTCTTCACAAATGTAAATGGGCCAAAACATCTCTGTATCAGTGCCAAAAGTAGAGTATAAACACATCTGTTCCACTCCTTTTTCATAAATACCACTCTCATTTGCTGGGAAGATCTGTAAATGTAGCATATTGTAAAGACAGACAGGCATCCAAAATCTTCAGGATTGCAGGCTGTTTGTCTCCAGCTGAGCCAAATCATTGTACTAATTACTCCAATGTACTGGATGTTCACACAGTATTGAGTCCAAAGATATTAATATCCAGACGCAATTATACACTTTCAGTAAACAACATATCGCTGACCCAAGAGAAACTGACATTAAACAAATGACAGAACTGATGGAGTTCATCATTGGGTAGGTCCTGAAACTGAAGCCCGTAATGTGTCCTGAAAAGAGAGAGACTCCAGGCAGAAAGGGAGGAGGAGGACTCAAAAGGACTGAAAAAAAGCAGAAGTGCATAGCAACACAAACCAAATAAGCGACAGTGATTGAACTGGACACCTCAATCATGCAGTGAAAAAAGGTTACGAAAAGGTGCCAAAAAAGATTTCTAAGCACTCTTAAAGCCATACCTGGCAGACCAGGCCTAACACACGTTTGGAGCACAGACGCTATCAAGTGTAGCGTGCAACAAAATGCTACAAAGAAATAAACACTAGTGATGCAGGGGTCAGATTTTTGTGGCTCTCACATATCCATATCCTACCCCCAATGCTTCAAAATGAGAAAAATAACAACTCTACATAGAACCACATGACATTTTTTTTATTAATACAGATTTTATTCAGCATTTAACTGCCTGAATTCATCTGAAATGACCTGAGCCACAGTTGGGAGTCAACCCCCACATCACTAATAAACACATAAAATCAATAAACCCACAAAGCAAGCAATTAATAAAGCCGACAAGATAAAACACTGAGTTATGCACTAAGCCAAAAAGAGAGAACAATAAAGAGAGGGAGGATTTTCCTTCAGCTTTGGGGGGTTGACTTTGTGGGTGGGAACAAGCAAGTGATTGCTTCAAGCTAGTACGCTGATGCCTTCTATTCTTAGTCCGTGCAAGCGAAATGCATATGTTGAGATTGTGCCTTTCACTTATCAGAAACCACTGTAGCAAAGCAGGTGAAGGCAAGTCAAACGGAGAGCTAATTTTCAGAGCAAAAGAACATCTGTCATCTGTCAGTGCTAAAAAGGGTTCTTTTCATTAATGCTGTAAAAGAACCACTTTTGGTTGCCTAAAGAACCTTAGAACTTCAAATAATATAAAGATACCAGTTAAAATTTTTACCTAAAACCTGCCGAGCCAAGAACCATTTAGGAACCTTTCATTTCTTAAAGTGAAAAATAAGTAGAGAATTGAGGCGCGTTACACGTATCTGAACCGGCTGCTTCTATTCTCCCTATCACAACCATTATAATTTGTCTTACATTGTCTTATAATTTGCCTCCTCCTCCTGATACATCATGATAATCTCAATTAGTTCCATTGAACCATGTAATATTAGAGATATAAAGCTCTTTGTTCAACCTTTTTATATTTAAATACTGTGAATAGTAGAGGGTTTTACATAAATGGTATCTAGTTTATGCTCGTCATTATGCTTCCTTCAAACATTTTGACACACGTTCATCAAGCTGAATCCTGCAAACCATGAGATATAACAAACATGTTGGCTTTATTCTGAACTCTAAAAGGAGTGATGGTGCCTGGGCTTGCTCTCATGCAGTGAAGCGCTCACTCGCTTTCTGTTCGCAAGATGAAAGCCTCCCCCACTCCTTTGTCTCTCTTCTTGTTCCTGATTAATTTGACAGATATGAATACAATGCATGAAAACACTGCGTATTAGCAAGGGACTTTTCCTAGCAAAAATTTAAATAATTAAATGCTACATCATACAGTTTATTCACAGTTTGCATCCAAAAAACTGTATGAAAATGTTGCAGGATTCAATAAGGGCCAAACTAAAAATAAGAGCAAACATAGCAGGAGAAAAGCAAACAGTTGCATATGACAGGGATTAGGCTCTGTATTTGCAAAAAGAATAGCTGAACACTGTAAGAGAATCCTGAGCTTTGCATTCTGGCAGGCGACAGGTTTGTGCACACATCAGAACTGAAATTTTATTGAGACATTTTTAGAAATAACAAGGTGGAGATGTCTAGAAAACACACCGGAGGTCAATGACATGCCGTGCATTTTTTCAAGTCTATTATTTTCCTAAAAATACTTTAATGAGTACATGATATGTATCAAATAATCATACAAGACATCCTTTATGTGAATACATGTTAAGTGCATCAAATTAAAATTCATTTTAGCTATTTATGCCTCCCAAAGTCTAAAAATGTCCAGTGGTGCGACCGTCTAACCATTAAAAAATGTAGTCAAATATAACTGCAAATAAAAAAGCTTGGCAAGAATTTATGTTTGAAACCTTCAAAGCCATTTCAAAACAGGGCACTTTTAGTCTGTCATGCTTTTAAGAAAGACTCATTTAGAAAGACAAGCTACCCACATGGCGCAATGCCAAGGTCAGAAATCCCTTCACAAATACTGAAAAAAAGTAATTCTGAGTCATGGTTAGAGTGCTTAAGTCCACCAAATCATTAGTCCTATCAACTTAACTATTTTAACCTTGTAAGAGATTTTCACTATTACGTAAATGGAGGTAGTGCAACAGATCTTATACCTGTTAGATTTAACAGTTTAATTGGTGAAAACGCATTTTTATATACAGCTGCTTTTATGTGGAATAAACTTGAGAGGAGCTTTAAATATGTTTTAAAGAAATGGCTGCTAAACGTGAAATTGTGAATCAGTAATTTATAGCAATTTTCACTCACTTTTCTTGCCTATTACAATCTGTCTTTTGCCTACTAGCCTATGGCCTTTATTGTGTTTTTTTATATTTTTTTAAAAGCTTGTAAGGGTGCGAATGCAGTCTTTTATGTATCTTATGTAATTATTAAATTAATCTACCTATCTATCTAGCCCAAAAAAATCAATAAAATGCATTATGTTTATTTATTCAAAAAAAAATGCATAAACTTTCAAAAACAAAGTTTTTTACAAGGGTCCAAGTACAAATCCTAGTTCATCATTAGTTGTAAATAACTTTGAAATATGTTTCTTACTGATTTGTTGTTGCACCACTTGACATTTTTGGGTGGTAAAACAGATCATCCTACTTAAAAATAAATTTCTACCATATAAGAAACATACATTGAACAGATCTTACAGATACAAAAATGCATGTCATGTCTGTTTAAAAAAAAATAATTTGTCATTTTGAAAGCTATATTTGTCAGTGACTTACCTGAGCATTGTTGGTCTGGTTGTCTAACAACCTAACAATGATTTCTATTTTTTGACAGAGTATAAGTTTTATAAAACGGGCGGTTTGATACTGTTTAAACGTTTTCCAGTCTCTTAAATTTCAGCCAGATGATGTGTGGCTGAACATGGAATGGATTAAAATAAACATTTAAAAGACTAATGGTTTGTGGTAAATGTAAAGAGGATGACGGGAACCATGAATGATATTCAAAAATCGTGACAGTTGTGAATGCCAGAAAATGAAATTTTGCACGGCACCTTCAAACTGATGCCAATTTTGTCATGTCTTTTTGTTGTTTCTGCACAGTAAAAGCAAAAAGAGATAAAAAAGGAAAGGGCCAAACCAAACTAGACAATTAGAATGTGATATCTACCATATAATGCAGTTTGTTTACCGTAGGGAGTCCAACCCCTGCGTGCTTCAAAAAAGAAAAAAACAAGGGAGGGAGAGCAAAATTAAATACCATAAACTTTACTAAAAAGACAAAAAAATTCAAAACCTCTTCCTCACTATTAAAACAAACTGTTCTTCGTATTCATCAGCCATAAAATTTCACTAACAGATCATTCCTCTGCCCTCCGGTAGATCATAGTCAGTAAGTGTTTACAGATTCGACTAATATGCTTAGTTCTTTGTTTTTCCCCCAAGTGGACAATGTTAACGGCAAACAGATGATTCACATTCCATGAAAGGGTTAATGTTAGTACTTAAGGGAGATTAGCAGAAGATAAACAATGACAAATCCAGGAATTGGAGGCTTTTGTGTTAGTAAGAAAAAGAGAAAGAAAGAAAGAGAGAAAGAGAGAGAGAGTTAAATTAATCTTTCACACAGAAATGGTCAGAGGAAAGGCTGGGGGGAGTTGAGAGAAGAGAGGGAGAAGCAGGCAAGAGCAGCACCAGCGTTAAGGCGTCTCGGAGAAATGTCAGCAACAACAACAAATTCTGAAGCTGCTTCTGGTAAATGAGTAAAAAATAATAAACAATGATAACACCCATAGTCATAGAAATGTCAGCTTGACGCCGTTCAGGTCAGAGCAGTGTTGCGGCGCGTGAGCTTGCAGCTGAATAAAGCGAAATGTTACTCCGTTTTGTAAATACCATCGAGCCATTATCAGATGCACAATATACTCTAGCTCTGTAAGCGACTCCAGTTAAAGGTTACAACAATCAGATGCGAGGCTAATCAGCACAGGCGCGCTCCACTCGTGGCTGTGCACCATCATGTAGTCATTGACTAGTAATGATCAGATTAAAAACATTCAATCAAGCTAACAGTGCTGGGGAAATTAGTGTGGAGGCTGGCCTCCATCAAAAACTGGTTTTATCAAGGCAGCAATTGAGTGGTTTCTTTTTTTCCCCCTTTTTTCTAGGTTAGGTTAAATGAATAAGAGCGTGTACCCTCCCTCTCTGCTAGATGGAAGGCTGCCTGAATGCAAATGACTATATTTGCAAGCATAATTGGAGCATATTTACAGGATTATTCTTCAGCAATCACAGAGACAAAACAGAGAGGCACAGGCTGAACATGGATGAAGGCACTTAACTGAATACAAAAACACCCTTCCTTAGCACAGATTCAAATAAACACACGCAGACGCGCACGCACGCACACACACACACACACACACACACACACACACATGCACACACACTAAACAGGCTGGGCTGACAGGGCCCTGTCAATGCTGCTCAAGTTTGCGATTGAGAGAAGGCAATCCTCCTGGGTGCCGTCACCACAAACATTTACACTGGCTAAACATACAGCTGAGATGAAGTCTTCAACACTGCTTCGCAGTGTCAGTCCATAAATAAAGCAATCTTCTCACTTTTGAGCAATCAGCATTAGCTATTACCTCCTTTAGCCTCTAAGGGGTTGCACTATTAGGTGGATGACGTCCAAAACAACAGCCTGTAGTCTAGCTGCACTGTAGCACCTGTGAGGCCATCTGATTCCAATTAAATCAGGGCCTCACGCAGTCCATCTCTATCACACACAACGCAGCGCTCCGGCCCTGAAGATCCGGCAGGCTTTTGGAGCCATGTGAGCAGCACACACACGTGCACGCTTGCTTACACTGCCTGCACAACAACAACGAAAAAAAAGCAAGGGCCGCTGTGGAGAACAACTGTTATTGCATGAAGGCAATTTGGACATGGATGCTGACGAGTGTTGGCAAAAAGACTGTGTGCAGCTGTGTACAAACTCCATGCAGGTCTAAATTGTTCATTGTTCATACAGTGGTTATCAATTCTCCTCCCAGAGATCTGCCTTCCTGCAGGTTTTACCTCTAAGCCAAATCTCATAAAAATAAAAATTGGCACCTAATCATAACCACCAGTTGTTTGCGTCCAGGTACTGGTAAAGCTATAACATGAACAATACATATGTCCACAGGGAACGACCAATGCAAGCGTGGTCTACTGTGTTCATGTGGTATCAGATATTGTACTGGCTGGTGATACATCCTCACTTGTGGTTTGTGGTTTTGCTTAAGTGCATGCGTACTTGACTTACAGTACTGTTCAAAAAGTCAGAGACCACGCTTCATTTATTTAGTTACTCATTTTTCAGCATCAGAAAAAGGCAGATATATTTAACAGAAAAGTGCACAGATGCTTCCACAACTAATTATAATTAAAATTATAAAATATTACATTATAATATATTCCATTTTTTTAGAAGACTTGTTTTCAGGTTTAGTGTTAAGTCTTAGAAATTGGTTGCATTTTCTGCTTTGCACAATCCCAAAGACATTCAGCGATGTTGCGGTCTGGATTCTGGGGTGGCTAGGCACCAAATTTTATGGTTTTATGTAGCTTCTTGATAGCTACACATCCTTTCAGACCCATAGAATTGAGCCATAGAATGTCTTCTCACAGTGGAAGGATAGACAGAAACAGCCATGGATTTTTCCAGATCTGAAGCTTAGTTGCTGAGTTGCTGATCTTCTTTCAAAGATGAAAGTGCCTTAAGTACCATTTATCTGATGGGGACAGTTTTGGTGGTCTACAGAGCTGTTAGGAGTCCCAATTTCTTTATATCTTCCAGCCACAGCATTAAAACCACTTCCTTGTTTCTACAATCAACTCTACCCTGTTCTTAAATGGTCAGGACACCCACAGCACCACCACAGAGCAGGTATTATTTGGGTGGTGGATCATTCTCACCACTGCAGTGACACTGACGTGGCAGTGGAGTGTGCGTACGAGTGGATCAGACAGAGCAGTGCTGCTGGAGTGTTCAAGCACTGTGTCCACTCACTATCAACTTTATAAGACACACCTACCCTTGTTGGTCCACCTTGTAGATGTAAACTCAGAGACGATAGCTCATCTGTTGCTGCACAGTTTGTGTTGGTCATCTTCTAGTCCTTCATCAGTGGTCACAAAATGCTGTTCACTGGACGTTGCTGGCTGCATATTTTTGGTTGGTGGACTATTCTCAGTTCAGCAGTGAGACTGAAGTGTTTCAAAAACTCCAGCAGCACTGCTATGTCTGATCCACTCGTACCAGCGCAACACACACTAACACGACAATAAATGTAGAAACAAGGAGGCGATTTTAATGCTATAGCTGATTGGCACACGTCTGTGAGCTCTGCAAGGTTCGAAGTGGTGCTCACAAGCACCACCAGTGTGCTTTTAGTTTGTCCTTTGGCAAAGTCAACATCAATGTGCACTTAATAGCAGTCTCTTACCTTAGTAGTCCCTTGCGATTGCAGGCTAGGACCAATTCTAGTGGATGGGGTTATTTACAGCTGTCTGATCAGCACAACACGAAAAAGTTACTGAGACTGTGCTCGCTTTAAACATAGCACCCCTGGAGGACTCTTTCCCCATAGGTCCAAACAGTGTTGATGTCACTAAAGCGCTGACTTAGAGGAAGATCACAGGGCTTGGGTTCCATTTGGGACAGGCCCCTTTGACAGCTGATGAAGTGCAGCTTCTGGGTGCTAAAGTTGGAAATTCATGAATATATAAGGACCATCCATGAACGCACCACAACACACCTCAATCAGCTAATCAAGAAGGATTTCTGAAAGCAGCCATTAACTGAATCTGAATCAGATGTAGCGGACTGGGGCTAAAGCTAAACTCTGCAGGGTAGCAGATCTCCAGAAACAGGGTTGGTGACCACTGATATACAATAACAAACCTGCATGATAATACATAAAAAACAATATTGTGAAGATATGCTCAAGCTGTAAGATGAAAACTAAAACTGTCCGCGGGAGGCAGCATGAAAGCCCCCAGCTGAACACTACCTGCCGCAGGTTGCGGGAGACGCGCACGGCGTGCCAGGCGTTGTCGTTGAACTTGCCGTCGGAGGGCTCCACCAGGGCCTCAAAGGCACCGGAGCCCAGGTTGATGACGAGGCACACGGCGCCGCTCTTCAGAGACAGGTTGACATAGTCGGCTGACTTGCCGGTGTGCAGCAGCAGGCCATTGCGCTGCAGCGTGCGGAAGGACAGCGTGATCTCGTCTGTGCTGCTCTGGATTGGCGTCTGTGACAGGTCATAGCTGAAGAACTCGTTGCCCTTGAACGTGGCCACAGACTCCCCTCGTCCTTGACAAAGAGAGAGACACAGATAGACAGAAAGATAAGCTCCAACATCATCCATCTGCAGACCTGGTAATGAACTATTATTAACTTGTTTAGTAAAACTGACAAAAATACTACCTTTAAATACAATCAACAGACTCAGAGATAAGTTAGAATGACTCAGACAAATCAGATTTTAATCTTGAAAAATAAAATTTGCACAGTTGTTCCCCCAACCAAAATGTAGCCAGCCAAATTTTGGTGTCCAAAATTTGCTTTGCACTGGAGCAATGAAACTAATAAAGCTAACAAATCCTGGATCCTTACACCCACCAGTTAGCACTGTGAAGACTGCAAGTATATGCCTGAATCATCCCACCTTCACTTCAAACCACGTCAAGTTGATAAGTAATCTCGAATACACTTTTTGTGGTTTCTGACACTGTGTTAAATTTTTCTATAAAAATGGCTGCTATCTACAAAATGGGCAAAAGTACAGACACTATCATTAGTGCATTCCATTGTGGAGGCAGCTGCCTAACTACATGTTTAAAAAGATGGTTCTTCAAGAGTTCTTTAGGAAAGAAAATGGTTCTATATAGAACCATGAACACTCAAAGAACTCTTTGTATGATTAAAGGGTCTTTTGCATCATGAAAGTGTTCTTCAGATTGATGGAGAATGTGCCGTATATGGTTCTATATATTTGAAAAGGGTTCTATATAGCACCCAAAAGGGCTGTTCCATTGTTATGAGCTTGACAGAACACTTTCAAAAATGTTCTACATAGAACCATCTACAACACATTCTCCACCCAATCTGAAGAACCCTTTAATGATGCAAAGAACCCTTTAATCATGTAAAGTGTTCTTTCGGTGTCCATAGTTCTATAAAGAACCATTTTCTTTACTGAAGAACCCTTGAAGAATCACTGTCTTTAAAAGGTACCTCTCTCGCTGGGCAGCATTTTGACCAAAAACAAACTTTAGTAGACATCACTTTTGGGACACTTGTCAGAACCATTACACCTCATAACTTTTACTGTGCTGTACATGTGATATCTACATACTTGCAGTCACTCGTTAGCTTAAACTTACCTTTGACTGTAAAGGTAGATTAGCTCTGGAAGCTCTGCAAGGCTTTACTTTGAGGTTGTGAGAATTGCCTGTGTATGACGAACATCCTGCTTTAAGGAGTCGTATCTACTGTTACATACTCGACTTGGCATCCAAATATTACAGACAACCAGTTTGTGAATCGCTTCAATTCCCTTGCAGTCCTCTACCTAAACGAACCTGCTTTATTTCTAACACACAAAGGAAACTGCTTATAATTGTGTACATGATGCACCTAGGAAAAAAGGACCGCACGCAGTCTGTGAAGATGGCTAATATGCATTTTATACGCTATATATTTTGGTCTTATTTGTGTGCACTTAGTCTGAAATTTAGCTGTCAACATTCACCTGCGCTGATGTGACAGTAATTGTGATAGCAATACAAAACAAAATGGAGCAGGCAAAAATAAGCATTTATTTTTGAAAATAGTTTGATTTCAGAACTTTTACATCCTCCAGCAAAGTTTACACTGTCTTCATCGTTCTGGGACAACGTCAGTCTGTAGCGTTGGTTACCACTGTGTTTTTCACAACACGCGCTAGAAAAGGGAGCTGCTTCCAACCATTCAGCGCAATGTTTTTCCCTTGTAAAAGCCCCCTAACCAGTGCCTGTTAGCGTCTGTAACATTTGTCTCTTTAATCTCTGATGACAGAAATAATCTAAACTAGCAGCAGCATCTCAGAGTATAGAATCAAACTGGCGAATTACTTGCAGACAAAAGCGCTACTAAACAGTAGAAAGTAAGTTAACATTATTTTAAACTGGGTTCTCTCTTGTATTGAAGATCCAGCGTGTTTACACAGATAGCCACAAGCGAGCTGCCTAAAAAACTACAGGGATGACTTCTAGCGATCTACAAACACACAAGTGTTATATATGTTTAAAAAAAATATGGCAGTTAATCAAAACAGTAAAGACAAAAGACAAATAACTTACATTGTCAGACACGTTGGTCAGCAGAAATTACCTTGGCAGTTGAACACTATTATGGGATTTCCTTCGTCTATAACAGTGTTTCTCAACCCTGGTCCTGGAGACCCACTGTCCTGGACATTTTAGTGTTTTCCTTGCTTCAGTGCACCCACTTGAACTCAGTAAGGGCTAGTTAATGAGCTGAATAGTTGAATTAGGTGTGCAGGGAGCAGGGAAAACTCTAAAATGCGCAGGGTGGTGGGCCTCCAGGACCAGGGTTGAGAAACCACTGATCATAAAGGATACATGCAATGCCGCCTTCAAATTTGGTCAAAATATGGCACCTTAAAAGACAGCTGACTTATGCTGCCTTCTAAATGGTACAGCCTCCTAAATGCCACCTACTTAGACAGCTGCCTCCCAAATGGACCACACCACATGAGAGGAAAGTTAGGGCTTCAAGATAGCTGCTGTTAACATGCTATTGCAAGACACATAATTAAGATTACTTAACAACTCAACATTATTTGAGGCAAGTACGTGATGATTCAGACATGCACTTTGCATAACACTACTAAGCTTTCATTGTTTGTTAGCTAGTCTTGTAGCTCCAGTGCAAAACTACCGAAGCAAATACCCAGATGTCAGCAGACACCAAGCATGTCTAGGCTCATTCATCATTTGAAGAAAACAGGAAAAAATTGTGTGAATTAAATTTCTGCTGAACTGCTGTTTTAAATAGAGATTCACCAGCTGGCTAAAAGGTAACTAACTAGCTATTTAACTGTTGTTAGCATAAAACAGCAGGGGCACCCTCATGTTCTCAAGGATCTATATTTCTATTTGCTCACTGAAAATTCAAGGAAACTGTCCCATATTCCCCAGGTTCTGTATGCTATGCTCTGACATCTCAAAACACTATTAAAAATTGCATCTTATTGTCTTTGCATGACCTCTAAGGACACTGAGACCTTAACCATGACATTAGGAACCCTTTCATAGGTCTCCCTAATGTGTCATATTGAGGTTTGATGTTTAATGTAAAGAGTTAAGAAGATGTACAACCCTGGGAACATAAGTAGGTGTCCCGAAGCAGCTAGCTAAATGTTATGCTAACAGAAGACATTATTGGGTGCAATCTAAAGCCACATCACACCCTGAAACTGCAGTATTATAGCTACTGCTATCTCTCAGGGCCTGCAGATCTTGAGAGATGGATGGAAAACGAGTGTTGATGAATGTTAGGATGGATGACTGGCAGGCAGAGCTGCGGATAAAGAGATGGAGGGATCTGCCTCACATCTCCCTACAGCTGTTCTTTCCTCCCCCCTACCTCGGGCATGACTATATCATGTTATCTAAGATTCATTTGTAAGATAATAAGAAAATTAAAACTTCAGGGCTGATTATGATCAGATATAATGTATGACTCCCTACTGAAAGTGCCACTATTTTCTCATAAAGAGCCGCTGAGCATTAAGATGCATTCTGCTAATGTTAGAGTCTTATCGTTAGCAGTGAGGCATGACTAAATCAAAACTTAACATCATGAGACAAGTGCATCATGCACATGAATCACTGTATATCAAGTATATGATGTAACATGTTAAAGAGAAATCACACATCTTCAGCATCAAACGGCCTTCCTCAAGGTTTCACACAGATGTTGGGGAAGCGTTAGTGCTTTACGGAAATATGTGTGACTGATGCTAGTGTCGCAGCTGATGTTGTTGTTAGTCACTGAAGAATGACTTGCAGCACCGATCACATCAGCTAATCAGTTGTGCCAATTGGATATTTAAATCCATCTGCTTTGAACCAAAGTGAGAGCATGTAATTAGATGACAGCGAGCACAGGTTGTCAAGAACAATCTTAAAGGAAATAATCTTGACAGTCGGCTGATTTACAAGCAGCGCTATGCCGCGAGAAGCTGAGCTGTTTTGGTTTTTGAGCTTTAGAGGCTTGAAATGTGGTCGTACAGAAACTCACGACTGAGCAGCAGACTTATTGAGATGCACTAAATATGTGAGTGTTTTAGGTCATTAGGAAACATCATGCCTGACTGCATTCCTGCACTGCCTAGAGACATCTAAAGAGATATTACCAAACATATTTTATGTAACCAATTAACTCTTAGCAGGCACCAGCACTTTTCATCATCAACCACCTCGGATGGCCCTATATTTTCTGTGAAATATGTGAAAGTGCACACATGAAATAGTACACAGACAAATTATCACATATACGCACATAGATGACCATCATATTTACAAATGAAACACATACTTACAAATATGAAACACTTACACACGAAAGAAACACCCAAACCCATTTCCATCACCACTGAAAATAGTCTCTGACATACATATAAAATTCTCTTACATTCATTAGTGAAAATACTCCCACACATCTGAGTTAATTTCATACACAGACGCCACATTTTTCAAGAGCAAAAGAACAGCAGGAGTCTATGTGGGTGCATATGGGTGTTGTAAGAGAATGTAGAATGAAGAGGTTTGCTTCTCACTGTTTTGTTCGTTTGAAAGTGGAGATGCCTACATAACCGCAAGACGAGGAGACTAACACTGGGAGAAATTTCAAGTGGAGGAATAAAGGGTAAAGTAAGTCAGATTTCTGAATATCATTATATACAGTGCAATTTGTTGTCCCAGTAGGATGCTTCTCTTTTTCTCTAACAACAATGTTCCTGATGGTTTTTCTTGCAGTTTCCTTTTTCATAACTTTTGTTCCTTTTTGTTGCTTTTTGTGCTCTGTCAGAACTTATGATTATGCGTCTGGAAAACAGGCTTATAAGAGAAATGCATGCTAGATCTATTCAAATGTCCACTCCTTTGCTCAAGACCATGACAATAACAACAAAAGACATGACCAGTAAGACCCCAGGTGTAAAGGCAAACTCTTAAAATTATAGGTTTTTAAATGGTTCTTGGCTTGGATGTACATTTCTAGGAGGAAACATTGTGTAGAATCTT